ACGACCACAACAACTCCTATAAAGGAAAGCTTTTAATTGGGGCTTTCTTACAGTTTCAGAGGTTTAGTCCATTATCATCATAGCAGGGAGCATGGTAGCATGCAGGCTGAATGGTGCTGAAAGTGTAGCTGAGAGTTCTACATCTGGATCCACACGCACAAAGAAGAGAGGGAGAGCTACTGGGCCTGGCTTAGGCTCTCAAAGTCATAAAAGCCTCAGGAAGTGACACATATCCTTTAAGAAGGCCACCTAATTCTTCTAAGTATTGCTACTCCCTGATGACTAAGCACTCATATGAGTCTGTGGGGGCCATTATTATTCAAAGCACCACATCTGTTGATGAGCACCCAGGGTGGCTCACTCCATAATTTAGCTTATGTGATACAGCTGCAGTAGATGAGGTTCTGAAAGCATCTTTATAGTAATTGCTCCTTACCCCTCTTATCTTCATCCAGCTTAAGTCTGATAGTCAAAAATTGTTATCACTCTCATATACATGTCTCTATATCCCTTCCCTACATATTATTACTTATTTGCCAAAAAAATCTTTAAATAAAACCTTTAGTGTAGTACATGCAAAGGTCCATGTACCCCATCCTCAAAGTCCATCTCCACATGTAAAGCAATAGCCAAATCTCAGTTCTTCTCTTGCTTAACTAGTGTATTACTAAACATTTTCTAGAGTATCAGAACTGATAGAATGAGTCTCTCTCTCTCTCTCTCTATCTATCTATATACATATATATGTATATATATATATATATATACATATATATGTGATAGAGTTGAATCAGTAGTTAAGAGCATGTACTGCCCTTGCAAAGGACATGACTTCAGTTCCCAGCACACATGTGGGTCAGCTCACAAGTGCCTATCACTCCAGTCCCAGGACATTGATGCCCTCTTCAGGCCTCCACAGCCATGGTACTTACATGTACAAATACATACACAGAAACACAACATAATTTTTTAAAGATATAATGTATATTTTATAAATTAACTCCAAGAATATGTATATAAAAATTGAATTACATAAAAATTAGACACATGCTTTCATCCATTGTTTTTTTAAGATCTATAAGAAGAAGCCTCTAACAGTTAAAATTTTTCCTCACCTAAAATTTTCATTTTATTTTTCCCACACTTTTTCTTACGTAAATTGCTGCCCTTGTGCATCTTCTACTTCTCATCAAATCATTATTTTGTAACAATAAACATAATTAGATTGGTTGGCATATTTTTCTCTTTAGCCATAATATTCTAAGATATAATTTTACGTTGAGTATTGATTAACATTACAGCTATGTGTATTTATGATTAAATGAGCACATATTTGATAGAACATCACTGATATTATACAAAATATAACCAGAAAAATTTTAATGTAAGTAGCCTGGATAACATAAATGCATTGATTGACGAGGTATAGGGACTAATCATTGTTTTCTTCATTTATGCATGAATAAGATCATTCCTAGAATCAAAGAGTTCCGGTCCAATTATGTTCTTTGTTCTTATACATCTTGGTGCAAAGTAAGGTGATTTGGATCAATAGGATGGAATTACTGAATTATAAATTTCTAAAAACCCCTGAGTTTTGTGCAAGTAATTTTAAAAGGTGGATTGAGAGGTAGCTCAGTAGTTAAGGGCATTAGAAGCTCTTGTAGAAACATGTATGTGTGGTTCCCAGCATATACTTGGAGGCTCAGTACTATCCATATCACCAGTCCTAGGAGCCCATATGCCCCCCTTTGTCCTCTGTGGGCACTCCACAAATATGGTGCACAGTCTTAGATGCAGACAGGATACTCACACATATCAAGGTTTATGTTGGGGTTAAGTCCCACTAAAACTCTCAGGATTCAAAACGATTTGCTCTATCAGGCAAAAACCTGACTAATTAGATCTGAGCATAAACAAAATAAATTAAGTAACATAAATCTTTTCATCATATCCCGTTTCTTCTTTCTATGCTCTCTCTAATCACACTGTTTCTTGTTCCTTGCTGCTGCTGTTTTTCTTGCTGTTCTTGCTGCTCTTCCCCCTCGCATGAGGTTTCCAGTTTGTATAACCCACACAGGCATTAAGGATGGTGTCAACATGCACTTCAGAATCATAAAGAAAAAATAGATAGAACCTGAGAAAGAAGCACTCCACAAAAAGATGACACCATTCAGGAAGAGCCAGTATCCAAGAAGAAATACCTGACATTCCAAACCATTAGACAAGATCTGTAGACATTTCTGAACCTTGGACTCCTCTCCCCTCCCCCCAATCTCTATTGGGATAACCAGCTTTGGTAACATCCAGACCTGTTTGTCAGTAAGAGCTGAAAGGCTGTCTTCCTATCTTTTTAAAATCCCTATGTGGTCTATTAGCAAAGGTAATTGTGGGGGACTGACTTTAAGTAGATTTGACTATTAGACCCAAGAGTAAATGTTATCACCCTAAGGCCCCACGGGACAGTCATTCCCTTGCCCATAGAGGAGGGAACTACATTGCTGAGGTATTTTGGGAATGAATTCCATTTTGAAGGGGAGAAGATGCATAGCTTCACAAGGTTTCTGTAAAATTGACAGTAACTATCCAAAAAACAAGTGTTCCTAAAGCTCTACAAGTCAGGTCCCCCACAAGTTGTACACTGTGGGTCTGTCTAAGAATCTGTCAGCTGTACACATACTGTATAGCACCCCTTGCTCCAACATATACACATAAAATAAAAATTAAGAGAATTTTTAAGAAATTTAGAACTATTTCATTAATTACAAAGTAGTAACATTTAAAATAATGTTTAATGATCTGGAATTCACTCTTATTTCTGCCATCCATTCTGTTGAACTCTTAGGGTAGGTGACTGTCTAAGTTACAAAAGCCCTTGTCTTTGCAACTGGAGATTCAGTCACTCTGTTGGTGCTGAATGCAGCATTTTAAATTATTCTCCATTCCTACTGGATTTTTAATTATGTTATATATTCAAGAAATATTTTTAAGTCAAGATAGTTGAGTGGGGATGGTTTTTAGACTTAGGCCCCTTCACATTAACACTGGAAGCAGAAAGGAAACAGAGATTCCTTATTGTGTCTTCCAGAACTTCAATGTAAAGGAACCCATTGATCATAAATGACTCAATACATCCTAGTGAAGCCTTTCAAAGTTCAGTTTTCTGAACTGTTCACAATGAAGGCTGGAAAAGGATTTGTTCAGCAAGGCTTTGTCTAAATCTTACAGTAATTATTTACAAGCCATGATTTGTGGTGAATCTTAACCTTTTTTCTCTAAGTGAAAGTCCTCTTGCTAGTCACGATCAAAAACCACGATGAGATTATGGCCTGCTGTGTCATGTAGAGGGATGCTATAAAATAGTCCCACACTACCTCAGAATTGAGTATAATAAAGGGTCCTTTATTTAGGGGCAGATTCACAGATCACAGTCCTGTGCATGAGCAGGGAACAGGAACTGAATCCAGAAGTTGAGAAAGGGAGGCCTCACAAGCTTGACATTTATATTTATAGTAAAAAGAGGCCATGCCCAAGTAGACTGGTATCTTAAAGGCTATTGACTGAAGGAGTTCTCACAGCACCTCCCCCTTTTGTCTAAATAAGAGAGTTCTAAGCCTAATACAAAACTATATACAATAAAAACAAGTATCAAGTATAAAAATTAGAATTACAACCAGCATAAACAATATCAAGCAAGAAACATATTCTTAATGTTTCAATAATTATCCTATCCTAAGGAGTCTAAGTCTTGTATTAGAAATGGCTTGGCTAAGTCACGAAAGGAAAATAACTACAACTATCTAGTCTTCAACCCCATTGAAGACCTGAGAAGGGAAATAATATTACTTGAGTAAACAGGAAGTTAATCAAGCACCTTCCAAAATATGCAATAAATGACAGAGACAACTGGCTACCTGGGCAATCACCCAAAGTCTCATTTGCAATGTTGGAGCAGCCAACTTTGGTTAAGGCCTAGAGTAACTGACTGACCATTTTCAGAGGCAGGAAAGTTGTCAAAACCATCTTCCCCTGTCTTGGCAAGGTTTGGTATTCTTTTTTCTTGTATCCTGCTTGTTCTGCACAGACATTGTGCATTTTGTCAGTGGTCAAGGCATGGGCAGTTCTTTGCCCAAAGGCCAATTTTGCCAAGAAGAAAAGAAGCTCAAAGTGGAGTGTCTTCAGTGCTCAACATTCTCTCAGGAATAGATGGGTGCTGCCAGGAGCAATTGTGTCTGGCTCCAGATGTAGATGGATGCTATAAAGTAGTCCTAGCTGAGAATTGATATAATAAAGATTTCTTTATTTAAGGGTAGATACACAGATCACAGTTCTCTGCACAAGAGGGTAAAAGGAACCAAATCCAGTAGCCAAGAGAGAGGCTGTGCAAGCTTTACTTCTATATTTATAGTACAAGAGACCATGCCCAAGTAGGCTGATATCTTAAAGGCTATTGGCTGAAGCAGTTACCACAGAAGTGGCATTAGAATTATTTGTTTGAAGATCACTGATCTTTGTAATGTTGAGCCTGTACCAGCTAAGAGCCTGTGTGTCTCTGTCTCCAAGTTTCTCATACTGTCAAATCACTCAGTGAAAGTTTGTGTGTATCATCAAATGTGAATCTTGTGAACCTTAGAGATTGTTCCTATTTTGTGTTTCAAGAGTTTTGTCAATCATGGTATAGGTCAAAATCAGCCCATGACCTGAAGTCAGGAATGCTTTGTAGTGTATTTTTACATACAACCATGGAAGGTTCTAGAACCCTCTGGAAGCACAGCCTTGAGTCTGCCTAGCCCTTAATAAGATGTCACCAAGGTTAGCTAAGCATGTCAGCTAGCATAGAGTGTTAGGCTGTCCCTGTGCACTAACACAGAGAGTCGCCCTGGGACTGCCAACAAACACAAAGGGTTGGCCTAGCATTGTCAGCTCCCATGGAGTATCAGGCTGGCACTGTCCACTAAGGCAGAGTATCTGCAGCATCGTTTCATTTATTTCTGCCATAGGAAAGAAGACGCGAGTTTGAACTAAATCTCAGGAAAACGGGTCTTGAGTTGGAAATTGAAGATAAAATGGTAACTATATTTGATAAATTATCCAAGGATTTTATTTTAAGTGGGTTTTTCTCCTATTCATGTATTTGGCTAGATAGATAGTGGGTTTGGAGCAATACATAAATCTTTTGGCTACAGAAATATGCATGGAGACAAGACATCCTGCATTTTCACAGGTCAGTAGTCAGTAAGGTGACGTTTCAGTGAAGCTTCTTAAAATGCGCAGGAGCATAGGAAGTCGAAGAAAGGCCAATCTGTAAAGTGTTTGCCATACAAATTTCAGCCAGAAACCATATAAAACTCTGGATATGGTAATATGTTCTTATAATGCCAACTGTGGTAAACAAGTGGGCCCCTGGGACATAGTGTCCATCGAGTCTACCCTCATTGGTGAGCCCCAGTCCCAGTGAAAGACCATCTCAGAGCAAACAAGCAAACAAGGTGGATGACTCCTATGGAGCTACACACAAGACTGACTCCAGTCACACACACCCACACACTACATATGCAATATCAGACACACGCGTGCATGCACATGCATGCGCACACACACATACACACGTGTCTTCCACTAAGGGTATAGAAAGATGAAGCACTTTGTTTACATAGCTGTTTTACCTTGATGCTGCCTGTCACATTGCACACTGGGCCTGGCTGTCTTGCAGGATAGCCACTATTTAACCCATGGTACTCTGTTCATGAATAGGTAACATTATTTCATTCTGTAACTGTATTCATGTTTATTATCGCTTCTCTACAATTACCTTTAAAGTTGTGTTTAAGCCCTACTTAAGATCACATTCTATCTGTGACTCTTCTGAAATCCTCCAACTTTGTTTTCATTTTCTAACTATTATTTCTCATCAGTTTTTACTGATACAATCAATGAATTTGTGTAATACAACACAATATATAACCTACTTTCCGTTGTAGTGGACCTTCAGGTCGGGTCTATGAAGGAACTATGGAAGAAGAGTGGGAATATCTAGCAGCATGCATATAATATAATGTAATGTAGTGCAATGTAATATAATATAATATAATAAATATTAATAACCTCACTGATTATCGAAACAAAATCCTGAGATGACGCTCATCAAAAACTATTATAGTGTCTAGAATCATATATATATATATATATATATATATATATATATATATATCTGTGAATCAGTCTAGTGCTGAGTGAACTAGACACACTAAAGTATATTATAGATGATATCGAGTATATTTATGCTAGTATAGCCATAAACCTGAAGTATATTTCAAACAAAATTCTCTCTCAGTCTCCATGTGTTTTTGTAGCACTCCTCCTTGTGGCATGCATATATTCACATGTATATAATATATATGTGTTAATTTCTATGTTAGAACATGTCTTAGTTTCTTTTCTTTCACTATGATAAGATACCATGGCCAAGGCAACTTATAAAACAAAGTTTTTGGGGGAGCAAGGATTTCAGAGGTTTAGAATATGTGATGGAGAAGCACTTTGTAGAGGCAGGAACAGTTGAGAGATTCCATCTTGATCCATGACAGGAGGAAGAGAATAAGACACTGGACCTGAAATATGCATTTGAAACTTCAAGGTTCTCTTTCAGTGACACACTTCCTCCAACAAATCCACACCTTCTCATCCTTCTCAAACAATTCCTCTAGCTAGGGACAAAGCACTCAAACGTATGAACCTATGGAAGCTATTCTCCTTCAAACCACCATAGTACGTACACACACATAAACATCTTAGAGGAATCTTATTTCTTAAAAGTTTTGCTTAAAAATTGATTAAATTGAAAATTTATTTTCATCATTGAGAATTTGAGATTTGCTTTCTTTTATCTTTAACTTTCTTTCACTCTGTCTCTTTTTTATGCAGAACTCTGAAGATGGAAAAACCTTTTTTGTGAAGATCCACGCCCCATGGGAGGTCCTAGTCACTTATGCTGAAGTGCTGGGAATCAAGATGCCTATTAAGTTGAGTGACATCCCACGACCAAAGTACACACCTCTGAGGTACATGCTTGGGCCTGTGAAGCTCCCAGCCACTGTGAAGTACCCTCACCCTGAGTATTTCACTGCCCAGTTCAGCAGACATCGTCAGGAGCTCTTCCTCATTGAAGACGAGGCCACTTTCTTTCCATCTTCAGCTAGAAACAGAATTGTAAGTGGTGAAGGCTTTGGACACCTCTCTCCATGTGTGCTGTGTAAGACTCTGTTCTTACGGGATTGTGCAGGCTCAAAGCTAAGCACTCAGAGTTTTCCTAGGCACGGCAAATATTACCATCTCATAGAATTATGCAGGGATGGAGTATGTTAGATCCAGTTTTAACTTGATAAAATCCCTATTCCTCAAATATTATTTAAGAGTAGGTGATTCATAGTAGATACAATAGTATAGGAGGAATAACATAACTCCGGAACAGCCTATCACTGACAGACCAAGGGTTTGTGCATTATATCATCATTGTAAATTGATTCCGTGATCTTAAAATTGAATTTTATAAATTTAACATCAGAATATCGATCAGTTTAATTCAGTTTGAATATTTTAATTTCTTTATATATAGTTAGGCTTCAAGGAGCCTCAGACATTTTCTCCCCAATTAAATCATTTTCAGGCTTGTCAATATTTCTTCTCCTTCCGTAGTCCTAAGTCTTGTACATTGCTGACTGGAAGCCCCAGACACCACTGTTTCCTTGTGTTGGGTTGAGATCATACATTTCTTATGTTACCCTGAAACTTAAGTGAATTCATCTGCAAATAGCTTTGAACAACACTTAACATACAGCAACTGCTCAGTGGGAAAGAGCTCTCATTCTCATTAGACATCTGATTTCAGAAGAACAAAGACCATGTTGGTCTTGCCTTTGTATTTTGTGTGTGTGTGTGTCTGTCTGTGTGTGTGTGTGTGTGCATGTGCACACGTGTGTGATTTAATTATACCATCTGATTCCCAGCCACTACAGACCTATTTGCCCTTGAGACCCACACATTCTCTGCTTATAAGTAGAAGATATGGCACATTCAATTTTCTTACTAGTTTTTTTTAAAAAAATATTTATTATGTGTACAATATTCTGTCTGTGTGTATGTCTGCAGGCCAGAATGGGGCACCAGACCTCATTACAGATGGTTGTGAGCCACCATGTGGTTGCTGGGAATTGAACTCAGGACCTTTGGAAGAGCAGGCAATGCTCTTAACCACTAAGCCATCTCTCCAGCCCTCTTACTAGTTCTTAAACCATTATTTTTATTCAAATTTACAGAGATATCAAACAGATGTAGCTACTAAAATTTTGGTATGATGCAAACTGAATATGAATTGCGAAAGAACATTTTCATTTTCCCAGCAGAATTAAAAGATACAAAGGCCTACACGTCAAACCAGCACCTTTCAGGGAATAGGAAGGGGCTGCTGTTGTATCAGAAAACTTCTTTTCAAGCCGTAATGTTGCTGTTTCCTAAATAAGTAACTTCTCTGGAAGCAGAGGTCCTATTACTGTCCTGTGCTGAAATGAAAATGTAGTCAGTAACTTGTTCTCTATTGTTCTAATTATAGTCTGATAATGACTGAGGATGCTACTAATTGCCGAGCTCCAGCCTAATGTATACAAAGTGCTAGATTTAGGCTTTATCCCACCTTCCACAAAGATGGACCAGGAGACTGTTCAGCGCAGGAAGGTCGCTGCTATTCCTTCACCTCATCCTGTGCTGCTCATTGTCGCTTGTAAACCTTGCCAGCGTGTTTTGTAAGTGGGAGTATGGGCTCCCTTCCTTCTATAGCACAGAAACACCATGCTCACCGTTTAAAAGGCTGATGTAGAAAGAGTCCCTTCCTTCCTGTCCCACTCAGCATTTTAATCTGTGTATGGACACAATGAATAAATCTCTGGAGCATCATACTAGGACAGACCCTCATATTTGAAAGCATCTTCCCAAACACCACAGTAAGAAATTATTTATGCATGCATGTGACACACATATATAATGTTCAATCGAGAGTCCCCATGATGCATATGTGTGTGCACACCATCGTAATAGAAAAAGTATGGAATTTTTTATATAGATTTAGCCACCTGTATAGGTAGAAAAGCTTACACAGTTAACATGAGTTCTGAATTGAATCTCTGCTTAATGCATCTGCATGGAAAGAGAAACCGATAAGAAATTTTCTGTCACTTTGGTCATAAAGACAGACCTGACTTTCAGAGCACACTAAAGGGAGGGCACCAGCTTCCTGTCCATCTGTGGTGGACAAATTCCATTGCTATAGTACATGCATGTGCCACTTGGCTGAGATTCAGTGACACCATGTTTTCTGAATATTGGTGGAACCCTGCCTTGAGAAGCTCTAGAAACAACACTTCCCCAACTGGACATAACACTTTTATTCCTCCATGTGTCTATGTGACTGTTAGAATCCTTCCTGAATATCACAAATAGACCATTGTGGAGTGGACTTGCTGGGCCTGGTATTTCATACCTGGAATACAGGCCCTTCAAAGGCTGAAGCAGGAAGACCACCATTAAGTGTGGGACCAGCCTGGACTATGCAGTGAGCTCCAGCCAGTTCTGAGAAATAAAGTTAAGACCCTATCTCAAAACAAATAAGCAAATAAATAAATAAATAAATAAATCCATGAAGATAATAATCTTGCACACATACAAAAGCTGAAGAGGTAGATAATGTTGGATCTATTTTGACTATTCCTTTAACTAGCATTCCCCTTCATCTCTCTGGCACTCCCTATGATCCCTTCTCCCTGAGACAAAACACCATGAAAATTGTTCCAGGCATACAATGTCACATTGACCTCTGTGTGATCAAGTTAAAGTTCCTTAGTTTGAATCAAAAGCCAGGAGTGAGAAAACTTCATAAGACAGATTTGTGAAATGCTGAGGATGGCCAGCTGGTCGGCCACTTGTGCTAGTCAGTCAAATCTTGGACACCAAGGAGACATTCCTGAAGGAAATTGAAAGTGTATTGCAGTTGACAGACACCCAGTAAGACAGCTTTTTCAGCCTTGTGGCTGAACCTTTTGGGGTGTGGATAGATCAAACCTTTAAGCCAACATTACCTTACATCAAACCTAATGTGGGTTTAGACCCTACCCTCAGTCTGTGAAGCCAGGGTGATGTGAAGAAACTGCTGCAGAAGACCTTGACAACTGTGAAGATGGTTTCTGGGGGTTTACACGAAGACTCCATCTCCTGCACATCTGGGTGCACAGCAGAAGTCACAAAGGAGCTACAGCTTGCTGTCTATAAGATCTGGGTCAGGAAACTGGTGACAGTGGCTGTGCTCTTAGCAGATTCTCAGTGTAGATGCAGAAGTTTCCTGTCAGACCCGCGGGGTCCTCTTTCCCCCAGGCCTGTTGGCCACCATGTGGAGAGGGGAAAGAAGCAGATTGGGTAGCAGAAATCTTTGGTGGCCCTTGAGCACAAATAGAGACAGTCCTCTGGGAGACAGATTTCTGTGTATCAGCTCAACTTTATTCCAGATTTAAGGAATATATAGGACTGGGGAGCCTGGGAACAAACTTACTTTGCATTAAGTGGCATCTCCTAACACAGGCTTTGCATGTGACCGTAGCGTCCTATAGTGAGCTCCTAGTGCAAGTCTTCTTAGTCGGGGTCCGTGCCCAGTGTCAAGATAAGGATGACTCAGGCATCTGACTTAGAGACAGCTTTAAGTTAAGGTCAGTCTTTCAGGCCCACATACATTTTCCAGATAAGGCTGGGTGGAAAACAGGAAGCTTTACTGGAGAGAAAGAGTTCCGTGCTATGGAGCTGATGAGTAATCTGCCAGGCCACAGGGAGGCTGTGACCTCAACCAGCCAGCAGTGTCCTCTAACATCAGAAGATGCCCTCTAGGACTTCCCTGTAGGAGTGGAGAGGCTGACTTCAGAGCATCAAAGGGCAGGATGATGCTTTTGCTAGGGGCCCAGGCAGTGGACAACTTTAAATTGAAACCCATGCTCACATGGCATTGTGAAAATTCTAGTGCATATTAGAATTAGAGCATCTATCTCCCTCTGTATCCTATAACAGGACAACGAAGCCCAGGGGGCAGCACATCTGCCTAAACTGAACATGCTAACCCACAGATGGAGTGCACTTGGCAGGAAGCAACTTCTATTGTTACTTCAGGAAGCACACAGCTCCCTGGCACTCAAACTGAGAAGCATAATGGCTTCTCTCCATGCTGCAAGCATGACCTCCACTCTTCAGCCCATGGATCACTGGTTTCAGGTCCTTTGATGCAGCAAATGTGTTTGTGTTTTGTACGGCTCTGACTGAGAGAGAGTGTGACTGTTATGATGAAATGAAAATCTAGAAATGATTCACAATCCTAGATGTCATTAAAATATTCACAACTCATTGGAGGAGATCAAATATGAAAACTATGAAGAGCTTGCAAGGAGTTGATTTCAATATGAATGAAGGGTACAAGATTTCAGGGGCAAAAGAAGCTGCAGATGTAAGCTGCAGGTGGGACAGAACTAGGTGGAGCTTGAAGACAGGTCTAACAAGGTCACCAGGAGTTTTAGGGTAAAAGCCCCACCATCTAGGCTCTAGATGTCTCAAGGACTGAGCTTGACCGTCAGTCCCAGTATGATAAACAACATAACATCTGGCAAAGGCCCCATCTATATCATCAGAGTGATAGGCTGAAGAAATACTGAAACCAACCTGGCCACGTATCAATTTAGTCCCCTATTTCTCCAAGTGAACTATTAATAATGGCACTTGAAACACCGATTCTAGTAAAAATTTATGGCATGGGAGTGTCTCAGAGGTATTTTATACAAGAGAAGAAAATTAAATGATGATTCATGCACCCTTGGCCCCAAACAAGGCAATGGGGTATTGTCAGAACCCAGGAATAAAACTCCTGCCAGTTCCATCTAGCGCCTCAATCTATGGCCTCTCACGGTCCGTGAAGAAAAGCATTTTTCTGTAGTCAGGGCCTGCGTCCATTCAGAGTAGACACTGAGCACTTGCGATTATCAAAGTGTGAAAAGTTGAAGTTCCGCAAGGTGCTGAAGTGTCTTCACATTTAACTTAGGTTTACTGTCTTAGTCCCTGCATTTTTACCTCAAATATTCAACATATTGAAGTCCCTGCATACTTGTGTGCTGTAGGTAGAATTCATCTACTGACTTCTTCTGGTACCTACCTGGCAGGTTTACTATATTCTGTCACGATGCCCTTTTGGAGTTGAAGAGGGGAAGAAAAAGATTGGAATCGAAAGATTACTAAACTCCAACACTTACTTATCTGCCTACCCACTCCACGATGTGAGTATCAGCCACCTTCACAAGTCAGAGCCCATTTCCTATCTCAGTCACAGCCTGCCTTCCCGAGGGATCGAACAATAGTCCAACATTTTTCCTTTTTTTTTTTTTCAAACTGCTTAGTTCTCCTAGGCAAAGGGAAAACATCCAGACTCCCTGCTTCCAACCTGAGGAGCGTACTCGCAGAGCTAAAATGCATTCAATGCCTTATTACGCTGGCATTTCTAATGAAAAGTACTTTTAATGATCGTTTGTATTTGCACACAGTATTTTCTTTAGAATCCATTCTTGAATTATTATATATTTGGGTGGCACATTACTCAGAAAGTTCTATCCTGTCTTTACTCATAGATTTTGAATCTTTTAATGAGTAAATGCACTCATGTTTATCCATCCAAGAGAGAAGTGGATTCAATCACAGGGAAAGTATTTTGTTGGCTATTATTTTCACACCACCATGAATCCAAGTTCAGAGGTCAGGACTGCCTAGAAAAGAAGTAGATGTTTAGTGCATTCCTAGGAATTCCTCTAGTGCCAGGTTTTTGGCTAGACCCACAGTAGCTCCCTCAATCAAAACATCTCCAAGATCCTCTCTACCTCTCCTCCCACCCAAATCCACGCCCTTCCTCTCTCTCTCTCTCTCTCTCTCTCTCTCTCTCTCTCTCTCTCTCAATAGAAGTGATTTTTGAAGGCCTGCAGCCAAACTTTTCCATATGACTTAAACTGCAACCAATCATTCAACAGTATGAAACATGACTTTAAGTTGGTTCTGCAAAGATGACTGTGATCTGATTCCTGTAGACTGCAGCAGCAATTTCATAGAAGCATTTTCCCCTTTTAACACACCTGTGATCCTTTAATATAAAGGAGGGAAACTGTCCAGCCTCCTATAATGCCTCCCACCACAAGATGTCCATAGTCTTCTGGAGAAAAACAGTGTGGGGGTTCCAATCAAGAGACCAATATATGCTATACTTAGGAAGATCGATGCTATACTTAGGAAGATCCTGTTAGAGTAGCACACATATTGCCAGGCATTTTTGTTAATCTTTACTTACAAAGGCGATTATGCTTTGAAGACTTTGAGGATTTTATTTACCTGCAGTACATTGATTTTTTTTTTTTTTTTTTTTTTTTTTTTTTTTTTTTTTTTTTTTTTTTTTTTTTTTTTTTTTTTAGCTCATTGCCCTGTTATAAATCCAGTACCTGCTGTGGTCCCAGGATATTTTAAGCTGTGCGTCCAGCCTTTTAGCACAGCTTCCCTTGCTCATTGGAAATCATTGGCATTGAGCTGTCTTTAGGAGAAGCTAGACTTCACCATCTTTGACATCTGTCAACTTTGAAGTGCTATGCTTTCTCTCGTGTGCTTTTTAGAGAGGTGATTTACACCAGCCCCAAACACCACCTTCGGGACACGGTCTTCAATTTTCACTCACTAAAAGTCAGTGGTATTACCTACAAAACAACAAAATTCTTGAATTTGTAGGGTATAAAATGTCACTTTTTTACATCAACCTTCACTTGTGTTAAACTTGAAGCTGGGTACTCATGCACACTGTGCTCAGTCATTCTCTTCTCCGCAGTTCTCATGTCCACGTAATGCTCTAACAGTTTATCAGCTGTTGTGTAAATGGCACTTGGTTTCCTGGGCCAGATTAATAAATAAATCACCCTGACTGTGGTGTCTTAGGAAAATGTTAGCAAATGACTCTATATTACTGGAGTAAGAATTAGAAGTCAATCAGCAAAAGATGCTGTCAGTTTTGTTCACCTGTCCAGAGAGGCTCCCTCCCCACCAGCTGGGTCTCTCATGTTCTCCTCTTACACTCTCCTTGACTGTGCACAGGGCCAGTACTGGAAGCCATCCAGGACTCCTTCTCACATCAATGAGAGGTACACCCTTCACCAGAACTGGGCTCGGTTTTCCTACTTTTACAAGGAGCAGCCTTTAGATTTGATTCGGTAAGTCATTGTGCGTCATGACCACAGGAGACCTTGCTCAGTCCCCTTGCTACCCACTGTGTTTCCCAGCCCCTCTCTTTACTATTGATTGTTCATTTGAAAGAAGATACTTGTTGCCACCATCTAGGAAAGGAAGGATGCAGCATGACTATTAAGGGTCAGGACCTACTTAGCTTTTAGCTAAGCTGTAATCAGTCTAGTTCCTGCCTTGTACAAGCAGCTCCCACTTGGTCGTGGTACTGAAATGCTGTGTGGTGCATCTTGTAATGTGGCAATGATGCTTTATTTTCCTTTGAAAATATAATATGATATGTCTACATTTTAGTTTAAGTATATATACAAAGTTCGTTTTCTTCCCTCGTAGAAGAACTTAGAATACAGGAGAAACTGGTCTGTGAGTTTGGATGTGTTCATCTCAGAGATCTGTAAAGATATTGGTTCTATAATCTCAATCTTTTTAACATGCTTGCAATCAATGCAAATAGGTGACAGAATCAAAGGATATATGTGGATTTTTTAAATTATTTTTTATTTTTTCTGTGTATCTGGAATTGTTTCCAATCAGGAACAATAATAAAAATGAAAGCTCATAGACTTACGTGTGATAACGATTTGATTTTCAGCAAAAGGAACTAAGAAGTCCATGTGAGAAGAGGCAGTGTAAGAGTAAATGACCCTGGTGCAGGTGATGAACACACAAGATGACAACAAAAATGCACCCATGAATGTGGGCAGGGGCTGTAAAATTGGGATGGAAATCAGAAAGGAAAGTTAATGGTACACATATGAGATTGCCAAAGAACGAACAAACAAAATGGATGAAAAGTAAGATGAGGGACATGGTTGCAGCCTAGTGTTAAAATGATGGCTTAGTATGAAAATTACACATGCTCAAAGGTTTAGTTGTTAGCCTATGTTTTTAAATTTATTAATCAAGTGCACAGTTTAGTAAAAAACCACTTTTTATACATCTTCATTTTATAAATAATAAATTCTCATTCGATCCCATTTAGGAAATAACTCAACAATTTCCTACATTGAGACTATTTTAATAAAAAGTATAGGTCTACAGGCCTTTTAGGAGTTTAATATCAAGAAATATTATTCTTGAAATTTGAAAGGGAGATGAAAGTGTTCATTTTAAATTAGTCACAAAGGTCATCAAAGTAACTAACCATGACCTGATTTGAATAAAGTCCCACTCAGTGAGAGGGAACCCATGCTCAACACTACCTAAATGGCCAAGAGCCTGAGGTTAGGTAGGCTGGGAACCTAGGGGAAAACTAACTACTACTACTGTTCTGCTAAAGGAACACAGCAATAAAAATGATTCCTAATGGCATCTGCTGAAGTCATAGACCAGTGTCTTACTTGGCTGTCATCAGGGAAGCTCCCTCCTGCAACAGACGGGAACAAATTCAGAGACTCACAACTGCACAATGTGAGAAACCTTGAAACACTCAGTCCAAAATAGAGTGTCTCCCTCAAATCCCTCCCCTCAGGACTCAAGGAACTCTGAAGAGGCAAAGAGATTGTAGAAACCAGAGTGGGTGGTGAACACCAAGAAAACATGGTCTTCTAAACACAACAGAACACGTATGAATTCAGAGACTATGGCAACCTACAGAAGGCCTACACAGGGCTGCCCCAGATAAGGTGCAAGAGTTGACATGGGACACAAGTCCCCATCCCTAACCTAGAACTTATATCCAATTGTACCAATTATATCACAAAAAAAATAGTTTCTTTTAAAAGAGTTTCACTGGGTTTACAAACCATACTTAAGGGCCAAGGCTTGGCAGTAAGTGGCCAACACAGAAAAAAAATATGAGCTCTACGGTGTTTTGGGAGGGTTTCAGTCGTGCAATGTTTTGACAGCATTTTTAACTGTTAGATTATTTATTTTTACTGTACAGGTCTTTTGTTGATAAGTTATGGTTTCTGAATTTGTTTTTATGAATATTCTGTATGTGAGTCAATGTCTACAGGTGTCTCTTATGCTTTTCCTTTGGCTTTTTTTTCCTGTCTGATTTTGCTATTCTGGATTGTTTTTACTTTATCTTATTATTATTTAGATGCCTGTTTGTATTCTGAGAGAGAGAGAGAGAGAGAGAGAGAGAGAGAGAGAACACGGAAAGGTGTGTATTTGGGTGTGTAGGGAGCTAGGGAAGAAAGATCTGGAAGGAGTTGGGAGAAGAGAACCATAATCAAAATATACTATATGGAAAAAATTCTATTTCCAATAAAGAAAAAAAGAGATTCCATAAAAGAAAAACAAGACAAAATCCAGGTTTTCAAGATATCCAATTTCTTCATAAATTCCTAAGAATTCTTGTGTTTGTAGCAACTGTATCTCCTAAGATGGATTCTGTAAAGTTTAGGGAAAAAATATAAAAATATAGGTACCAAAAATTAGAATGAAGAAAAACATATAAAGTTGTAATCCTAAAAACAAGAACAAACTACCAACAGCCTTCTCAGCAGCTTAAGGATCAATTATCAGCAGAGGATTGGCTGTTTTGTTTACAAGAAAAAAGCATCCCATGTCTCCAGCTGTGGTCTCAGCTAGCTGACAAGCTTTGGTGCCCCACAGAGTTTTTATACTTTTCTTTTTTCTGGAATGAAGCTTCCTGGTTTACTAGACTTTGGTGGTCTGTCCCCATCTATTCATGACCCCGTGGACCCAGCATTCTGCAAACATTAATAATGTGAAAGCAAAGCAAATAGAATATATTCAAAAATAAAACACTTAGGAGTGAACCTGGTTCCTCCGAGGGAATAGGCAGGAACCAGAAATCTCAGTTGGGCCAGGCGTGAGTCTATAGTATACCATTACATGGACGACATTTTGTTATCCTATTCAAACATGGATACCCTGAACAGACTGTTTGAAGAAATAAAGATACTTTTACCTAAATGGGAATTGCAAATCGCTCCTGAAAAGATTCAGAAGGGAGGTTCTGTTAATTATTTAGGTTATAAAATAGGTTTGCAAAAAATTAAGACACAAAAGGCACAAATTAGGAGAGATCGCCTACGGACTCTTAATGACTTTCAAAGACTGTAAGGAGACATTTCCAGTCTACGACCAGCTATTGGGATAACACCTGATCTAATAATTCATTTGAACAAAACCTTGGATGGTGATAAAGATTTAAACAGTCCCAGAGAATTAACAGCTGAAGCAGAAAAGGAACTGACAATGATTGAGGAAAAATTACAACAGGCACATGTGGACAGGGTGAATCCAGAGCTCGATTGTATTCTTGTCATACTACCATCAAAAATTTCTCCTACAGGAATTTTAATGCAGAGAGATGATATTATGTTGGAATGGATCTTTTTACCACATAAACCAAGTAAGAAACTGAAAACTTATGTGGAAAAAGTCTCTGAGTTAATTATAAAATCCTTAGTCATTAGAGAAATGCAAATCAAAACAACTCCATCTTATACCTGTAAGAATGGCCAAGATCAAAAACACTGATGACAACTGATGCTGGAGAGGTTGTAGGGAAAAGGGAACACTTCTGCATTGCTGGTGGGAATGTAAGCTGGTACAACCCCTTTGGATGTCAGTGTGGAAATTTCTCAGAAAATTAGGAAACAACCTTCCTCAAGACCCAATAATACCACTTTTAGGTATATACCCAAAGGATGCTAAATTGTGCCACAGAGACATGTGCTCAACTATGTTTATAGCAGTTTGTTTGTCATAGCCAGAACCTGGAAACAACCTAAATGCCCCTCAACGAAGAATGGATAAGGAAAATGTGGTATGTTTATACAATGGAGTACTACACAGCAGAAAAATAATAACAGCTTGAATTTTGCAGGAAAATAGATAGAGCTAGAAAATATTATTTAGAGCGAGGTAACCCAGACACAGAAAGACAATTATCAGATGTACTCACTCATGGGTGGTTTTTAAACATAAAGCAAAGAAAGCCAACCTACAAACCACAATCCCAGAGAACTTAGACAGCAATGCAGACACTAAGAGAGACACTAAGTAGAAAGTAGAAAAAGACAAGATCTCCTAAGTAAATTGGGAGCATGAAGATCTTGGGGGAAGATTGAAAGGGGGAGGGAAGAGGCAGGGATGGGATCAGAAAAAAAAGTGTAGAACTCAATAAATATCAATAAAAAAACTTAGTACTTAAATATAATGCAGGCATTTATTGTAATCCTGGCATGGAGGAGACCAAAGCAGGAGAATTGGTTAGAGTTCAAGGCTAGTCTAGGCTACAGAGTGAAACTGTCTCAAAAAGGAAAGACAGAAAGAAAAAGAGAAAAGAATATTAGTGTCTTTTTGGTGTTCTTGATGTTGTGTAGTATTACAGAAATTGCTTTATTCTTTAATAAAATCTCAGAGAGATGCAGCAGGGTCATTGACATTTACTGTGGGGAAGTGTCAACTGCTGATGGCCTAGGGACTGACACAGACAGCATTGTGGGAAAAATAAAAGCAAACTGCAAAAATGTTTATCAGCACTGAAAAGAAAACACAATACACACAGAAGCACCTATTTAATTAGAAAGGTTTCAAAGCTGAAGAATTAATGTGTGGCATGAGAAATCTATTTAAAATCTGCTTAAATGGTCTCTATGGGAGGTAAGAGCTGTGTCCCTCTTGTTTGCTCACTATTGTCTCCTCCCAGGGCAAACTTGGAAGCTGCAGGTTACCATTGCAGTTCTTAAAGTATTAAGTAGCAAGCTTTCAGACCCTAAGGGCAGTGAAACCTGTGAGAGGTCGCAGCCTGGTGATGAGTTCTCTAGGAGGAGAGGGCTGTCCGCAGGTCTCTGAGGGTATGCTCAGCTAAACCTGGCCCTGAGTACAAGCAGGTGTCGGAACAACACTGTCAACCTCTCTACTCTGCTGCAGTCACGCCTGAGTGCCATCAGAACACCCTGTTCCACTGTGGAAAGAAGCGGGGCAATCGGGCAGACGATGTCTGTGTCTTTAATTTGTCAATTGCTACAGGTTGGATTTCTTTAATAACTTAGTATGTATTTGTTCACTATTTAATACTATACTTTAAACACATGGGAGTTTTAAGATGCATGAGTTCTCAATATGATATTATTTAAAATTTAGATTCTATCATGATGGCTTCCTTCTTCCATGGGCTATTTCTTTTCATCTTTACTACTGTAAACTTGCCTGCCAGCGTGGAGCAGGGCACCTGGCCCATGGTTGTTCTTCCAGCCTCTGATTCTGTCTCTCGTTCACAGGAATTATTATGGAGAAAAGATCGGTATCTATTTTGTGTTTCTCGGGTATTACACAGAAATGCTGTTGATTGCGGCTCTGGTTGGCTTAGCCTGCTTTATCTACGGTTTGTTATCAATGGAAAATAACCAAACTAGGTGAGCACAAGAGACTGGCACACATAGAGACTGCCTTGGCATAAGCTTCTGCAGCCTCCTTATTTCTCCACATTTACCTCAATGTTTCCTGTGGCCGCAGGCAGTATTTTCAAAGCAGACTCATGTGTAATGCTTCTACGTGCCGAGGGCTTTATGGAAACTGCCTTTTGCTGTTGTCTTGGCTTTAATTTCATTTATTTTAACTTCATTTATTCTTTTCATTGTTGGAGAATTTCATAATGCATACAAATCCACTTCCGCCTGCTCAGTTCCTCCTCAGTGTTCCACCATTTTCCTTCCCAAGTTTCATGTGTTCATGTTAAAACGCAAGTCTGCTTGGTGTTAACCTCACGTGCATGCATGGAGGACTATGTTCTGGGGCATGTGGCCTCACTCCCATTCCCCAGCACCAGCCATCGATTGTCCATAGCTCTTCTGCTAGTGTGAGACCACATGACTCCTCATTCCGCATCCATCTTAACGTTGTCTGACTCAATCCTGTTTGGGTCTTCAACGTTAGGCTGCATTTAAAAATGTACCCTAAGGAGTCTGTTTCCTATACTATGACTTCCACCAATATAGAAACCTTTGCTTTGTTCCCACTTTTGTCGTGAGTGGACGCTCACTGAACACTCCTTCTTTTGAGAACTGCTTGGATGTTTCACTCCAAACTGCATTGCTTTTTATCTGACTTCTCTGGGCAGCAATGAAATCTGTGACCCTAACATCGGAGGTCAAATGATCATGTGTCCACTTTGTGATGGAGTCTGTGATTACTGGAGACTCAACACCACGTGCCTGCATTCGAAGGTAAGTGTGCCGTGGGGCAGGACGGAGACTGGCACTTCCTTCCTGTGCTGACGTCTTTCGTATTAAGAGGGTTTTTTTGATGGTATTGCCTTTACAGTTCTCCCATCTGTTTGATAATGAGTCAACCGTGTTCTTTGCCCTCTTCATGGGGATCTGGGGTGAGTACAAAGTCTCCTCCAATTTTGTTTTTGTTTTTGGTTGTTTATTTTTTTGTATTATGACCATTCATGAATTTATCGCATTTTGTCTAATCTGTTGTGTAATTTGTATAACTGCCTGTTTGTTTGCTTGTTTTCCTTTTACCACCTGAAATAGCTCTGGAACAATATTTTCTTTTTTTGAGACAAGATCTCATAAAGTGCTGAATTCTCTTTGTAGCTGAGGATGGCCTTTATCTCCTGCCTTTGCCTTCTAAATTCTGGGATTAGTAGTGTGTACTGTGGCACAGAATATAGATGTTGCTGGGGATGGAACCCTGGAATGGTTTCTAGGCCAGCACTCTACCCACCTACTAAAACAAGTATCTTTATATATTTATATAACAACCTTATAAGAATAAAACTTAGCATGTGAATTTGCAGAAAAAAATGTATATACAACTTAAAAACATTACTACATTTTTATATGACTTATATTTACATATATATAGAACTTTTAAACACATTCTGATTTTAGCTTTTAACGCTGGAGATGCCATTTGATGGGTTGGATGTCTTCCCATTATAGTTTTCATTTGCAGTTGTTTGATCACAAGTGTTTTAATATTTGATATTGGACCAACAAACATGATCTCAGCATTTCCAACTGACAACATGTGAAGTGCTTTGCAAACAAAATGATTGAAAGCAGACATGAACATTTCTTTTTGAAGATTTATTCTTATTGGTTTCAATTGTATGTGCCCCCATCACGAGCATGCACACGCCATATGTGCACATCCGGTGCCCAATGAGGAAAAAGGTCATTGGATCTCCTTGACCTGGAGTAAAGGTGGTTGTGACCCCCCAGAATGGATGCTGGGTACGGAACTCAGATCCTCTGCTCGAGCAGCAGGTCCACTCCACTGCAAGGCGCCCCTCCTGCCCATAGGGTTGCTGCCTTGCAACTTCTATTTGTCACACAAACTTTTGCTTGACTGTCTATTGATGGCTCCACCCTGATGCTTCCTTCTACTGTAGTCACACTGTTTCTGGAGTTTTGGAAACAGCGACAAGCCAGGCTTGAGTATGAGTGGGATCTGGTGGACTTTGAAGAAGAGCAACAGCAGCTCCAGCTGCGGCCCGAGTTTGAAGCCATGTGTAAACGGAAGAAGTTGAATCCTGTGACGAAGGTACAGTAGCTATGGAGTGGGAGCTTGCTTCAGGGGACCCTCTGCTATCGGCTGCCCTGGAATAGTCATGTTCCGTCTATGTGCAAGTTAATTCACAAAATTTCCATTTTTTTCTGATGTATGCATAGTCATATATCTGAAAAAGTTCAAACCTATTTACAAATAGAAAGCTATAGTTAAACCCATAGTTGTAACTACTGCTCAGCCTTGCATTTTCACCCCAGAGACGGGATTTTCTCACATGTATCCTTACGTCTGCTCTCACTGGATTATTTCTAAAGCAAATGCAATGCATCACAGTATGAAATGTGCAATTTTTGCTACTAGGTGAGAAAAGATGAAATAGAAGCCAGTGTTTGTGTGGAAATGAGTTAATGGGTTAAAGGGTATCTGTGTTAAGACAGTGGATTTATGAGCGAGAATTTGATTTGAACGAATTTCTCTTCCCGTGATACTTTTGCACTGATTGCCTGGGAAAGACACTGCATTGGAAGTGAGACGTGTCTAAATTTTCAAATCTTTAACCATCAATCTGTCTGTTCTTGACTAAGGCATCTTGTAACATCCATATACTCATTTGAAAGTGAAATATGCTTTATTAGCTTCATAGGCTTGGAGCCACTATGTGCTATGTGGAAGGCAGTGTGTTCTGCCTCAAGTTCCCTGTCTTCTGTAGAATCCCATCCTTCCTTGAAGGCACTCTAGCAGTAGAACTCTCAAGATTCTTGTCACAACTTAGGGATGAGCCAAATATCTCTTAATTGTGACTGAAATGTCATGCCAATGTGCAGCATTTGGGTTCTGGTGGCCTTCTCTTAAAGAAGGAATTACCTTCCATGGGCTATATAATGAGAAACCCTTTGTGAGGTCTCTACCTTTAGCATGTGCCTTGATTTTTCTACTGTTATTTGGAGTCCCAACTGTGAGGCCAAAGTGTAACTTTGTAATTTCTCCAATATTGCAGGAGATGGAGCCACACATGCCCCGGTGCCATCGCATCCCATGGTACTTTGTGTCAGGGACCACAGTGATCTTTGGGGTAAGCACCATTTAGGAAACTTTGACCGTTTCTTTAGGACACAATTCTTTATGAACCACAGTATCTCCTAAACCCTGTCTGCATCAGCTCTTGGATCATTCCTGCAATGCCCCATTCTTGCTATATTGTATATTTCTCTTATACAAACATGACAGAATTTACATAGATTTTTTTTTCCCCAAGACTGAAGTTTGTAGATAAATGTGTGGGAGAGTCCTAACTTTCCAGCTTGTTCCCGTTTGTATCACTGACTGACATCTGGCACCAAACAGAATGTCACGTTCATCATTGCAGTCTTTGGTTAATGTGTCAGCATCACTCATTCCCTTAAAGTATCTGTGCACATGACACCATGAACTATTACCACTTTCTCCTTGTTGAGACACAGACTCAAATCTGAGGAAGACAGATCTATGGGGGTAGACGTTCCTCTGTGTATCTATAGCTAATATATTTATCCACCACTGTGACTTTTTGTTCTTTCCTTTCTAAATCTGTGTACTGGTCACAGTTGGATTTTATTTTTTTAAAAGATTGATTTATTTATTATGTATACAATGTGCTGCTGGCATGTATGCCCACACACCAGAAGAGGGCACCAGATCTCATTACAAATGTTTGTGAGCCACCGTGTGGTTGCTGGGAAGTGAACTCAGGTCCTCTGGAAGAGCAGACAGTACTCTGAACCTCTGAGCCATCTCTCCAGTCCCACAGTTAGATTTTAATTTTGGGAAGAGGGATGGGGGTGTTGGCTTCTGAGAGAATGTGCTATTGAGGTGTAAACAAATTAACTATTTTAGAGAGTGGTTTAACTCTCTCCAATGTGTGTGCCTGTGTATGTACATGTGTGTGTGTCTATGTGTGTTTCTGTGTGCCTGTGTGTATATGCATGTGTCTGTGTATGTGCATGTGTCTATGTGTTTGTGCATGAGTCTATGTGTGTGCGTCTGTCTCTGTGTGTGTCTGAATGTGTTTCTGTGTGTCCGTGTGTATGTGTGCATGTGTCTGTATATGTGAGTGTGCCTGTATTGTGTCTGTGTGTGTATATATTGTGATTTTTAACAGCTCTTATTAAAATATTTCTTATATCTTGAAAGAATTAGTTGGGGTGTATTTTCTCACCTTGCATGACAATGTGTAGAAGAAAAAATGAATAAAAGGGAGACAAATAGGTACCGTGGGATCAATTCTGAGAAAGGAGCTTGGAAGCACGGTCTCAGAATGGCTTTTCTGTTTTCAATTTCTTATCACTTAGCACTCAATTTGATTTGCTTCCTCAAATTTAGAATCAAGTTTTCCAGTCATTGAATAGATATAGAGCCACAGTGCTTTACAATATACAATGTATACAAAACTGATGTGGAAACTACACAATGTTTGGTCAAATTTTTCCTGAAGGGGGATTCATTTGTGGTTACATAGTCTCTGGTTCAGGCTTATATTTTATTTTCTTTATAACATTAAAAATGAATCTATATTGATAGCTATATTTTAGATAGATAGATGAAAGATAAATAGATAGATTGATAGATAGATCAAAGACAGATAGATTGATAGATAGATAGATAGATAGATAGATAGATAGATAAGATGAAGGGTCAGTAGATAATAGACAAACAGACAAACAATCGGGTAGATAGACAGAGGATAAATGATAGATGATAAACTTATCTCAAGAGCCACACCAAAGCATACCAAGCCAGGAGTAGGATTCAAAAATACAGCTGTCATTTGTAAACACTGAGAAAATGAATTTAAAAGTTGAATGTAATAGTCACCACTCATATTGCTAGAATGAAATAACTGTCAAGAATCAATTGAAAAGAGTTAATTGGTTCAGAGCTCAAGGACATAGCCCGTTGTGGAGAAGAATGTGTGGCAATGGGAGCTTGAGGCAGCTGGCTACATTGATTGAGAATCACAAAGCAGAGACAGAGAGAGAAATGGCAGTCCTCAACTCAATTTCCCCTTTCATCCTATCCAGATCCCAGGCACAGGGAGTGGCCTCGCTCTCAGTTAAGATGGATCTCCATCGCAATTAACCTAATCTAGATAACTCACTCACAGATGGATCTCCTGTTAAGTTGACAGTGTTTTCCATCCCAGACGATAATAGTTTTCTCTAGTTCGTGTTTAACTCATAGCAATCAAATGATTTTTTTCCCAGTTTTTTTACCTTGCGGTATCTTATCTGATGCTTCTGTAGTAAGAGTAGATGCTGTGCTTAAGCAGCTGCTGAGCAGCATAACAAAATGGGAAAATAGCGCATCCCATGGTTCTCGCTTTTCCCCTCAGATGGCTCTCCTCCTCAGCAGCATGGTGTCCATCATTGTGTATCGCCTGTCAGTCTTTGCCACTTTTGCCAGCTTCATGGAAAGTGAAGCCACCCTGCAGAATGTGAAGAGCTTCCTCACCCCCCAGCTGGCCACCTCTCTCTCTGGATCATGCCTGAACTGCATTGTCATCTTGATCTTGAATTTTTTCTATGAGAAGATATCTGCCTGGATTACAAAAATGGGTAAGCTGGCCAAATTCTGAGAGTGATTTAAACACAGGTTTTAGCCAACACTGCACATCCATCCTTGGACCCTCTCTCAGGAACTGGCAACTGAAGAGCACAATTTCCAGGCTGTTTTGTTCTCTGAGTAGATCCGCATTTGGTTTTTAATTCCTTAAGATCCATATTCAGTCATTTCACAATGGAAGCAAGAAAAACTGTAAGGCTAAGGACACCTTGGGCCATTTTGAGGGCTCTTATCTCAACATTCCCGGGGCGGAGCTAGCTGAATCCTGATCAAAATCCACACCTTACTAGAAACATGTGATAATCTGGTTTTACATATTTTCTTCATGGAGGATATTTGCTTCTAGAAATCATTCTGAAATAGAAAAAAAATAACAAAAACGAACAGAGCAGCAGTTCCTCATGCACAGCCCTAGAATATTGTGCCTTTCTGTCTATGTAGCATCTGTTATAACCCAGATTATTTTCTTGGTGACATTTTTAAATTTTTCCTGAAGTGAGAAGTGCTGGGGTCAAGGGTAAAGCACTTGAGCAAGGAATGCTGCAAAGAACATGTGTGCTTCTGCTCCCATCTTGAACAAGTTAGAGAGAGACAAAGCTAGCCATTTATCTAGCAGTAAGGGGCATCCCTTCTCATGGCTCCACACAAAGGCAAGCTCCAGGCAAGCATTGCCTGGAAGCAGCCCTTGCATCATCTTCAGATTTTGAGTTCTCAGTCAAGTTTATTTTTTCTCTGGGTAAAGTGTTTAAAAAGACATCAAGAATTATGGCTCTATTCAGTGAAAATTGTTCCGAACCTCCTACCTGAAATGTTTTTAATAAATTCAAGTGAGCTTCAGCAAAATGGAAGTTATCTGTGTCTTAGAATATTTTGTTCTTCTGAAAGTGTCATGGGAGTGTCTGCTCTATGGGGAAATTACAGACTCCTGATAAGAAGTGTATTCCCTTACTCTTAGCACTCCCCAAAATGATCTAGGCGTTGGGGAGAAATTAATTCTTTTTTATCTTTAGAATTTGTTACATTGGAAACCATGACTGCATTTTAATTAAGGAGAAAGAAGGCATATATTATCTCTGTCAGCATTTGTAGGCAGAGTTTAGTGCATGAGAAGAAAGTAGAATGTAGTTAAAAACCATCTCAGCTCTGGACAAAGTTCTTGACATAAGCTTACCTGGTTTACACCAGCTTGACCATTATGAGAGGAGGTAGAAGCATGATGGGATTTTTGTTAGTGTTTAGCAGTGATGGGAAGGAGCACTGCCCATTTTGTAGAAACCCCACATTCAGACTGTCTTATACCGAGAGCAACCCCACCCTTGAAATGGAGTAACTGCTTCCGAGACTCTGTCAGCCATGGGATTAACACAACATGAGCAACAGGAAGCCAGCACAAAAGCACAGCTCTTCAGCATTGGTCAGCTGAGGTCAGTTAGAGGAGCATGTTTACACACTTTGGAATGGCATGCCTAGATCTCCACTTCTAAGTACAGCATTCAGGAACAGTCCATTGATTCCTGGTGGTTTCTCTTGGCAGAAATTCCTCGAACTTACCAGGAGTATGAGAGCAGTCTCACTCTGAAGATATTTCTCTTCCAGTTTGTGAATTATTACTCAGCTTGCTTTTACGTGGCCTTCTTTAAAGGGAAGCTCGTGGGCTATCCTGGAAAGTACACATACATGTTTAACTTATGGAGAAGCGAAGAGGTAAGGTCTCTCGTCCAGCTCAGATTTATGGTTTCAGATAGTTAACACTTGCCTTTCTCCCTAGTACTAACTCAGTCATTGTCAAGTTGTAGAAGTCTAACTGATCATCAGTCTTATCGTCCATTCGATGTTTCATTCCCTTTGAGCAAGAATATGGCACCAGTCTTGCTTGGTTTTTTGTTGCTATGATCAAATACCCTGGCAAATGGAACTCGTGGGAGAAAGGACTTATTTCCGCACTTCAAGAGTGTAGCTCATCATGGCAGGAAAGTCAAAGCAGCTGGACACATGGCATCCAAAGTCAGGAATCAAAGAGCAATGAATGCCTTTGGCTGCTCAGCACCCTTTCTCCACTTACACAGTCCAGGGTCCCATCAAGAGAATGATGCCACCCACAGTGGGGAGGTTTTCCCACTTCAATTACTGTAATAGAAATGACCCTGCATAGGCATGTCCAGATGTTCATTACCCAAATGATTCTATTACCTTCTAATAGGGTAACAGTTGACAGTAACCATCCAAGAGTCTATGATCTGTTCATAAGACATAGAACTTTTTTTTTTCTTGAAAGCATCCTGCAAAGGTCAAGAGTCAAAACAGGGTTTTTCTATGGCCCATGAGACATGAATGATAGTTTTCAAACTGATCACATGAAAATTATAGCACCTTTTAATCCTAGCACAGACATAAGTATTCAGAATTTTTTTAAAACTCAGAGTCTGTATTTCCATCATAGTCCACAAACGGGTGTGCTGCAGCTACCCTGGTAGTAGTCCCACATGATTTGTGGACTGAATGGCTCTGGAATATCCTCATTGCCTCTCCTGACCATATTATAACCTTTTACCATACTTTCTTGAGTTTCTGACATTCCAGGTGTTGCAAAATTCTGTTTCTCCTCTTTCTCTGTTTCCTCCTCTCTTGTTTCTGAATAGTGTGATCCTGCAGGCTGTCTGATAGAGCTGACAACCCAGCTAACCATCATCATGATTGCAAAACAGCTTTATACTAACGTCTATGAAGCCTGTCAACCGTATGTATGGATGGGAATTTTTTTTCAGTCATGGAATCTTTGTCAGACAATGTCTAAGCAAACAGGAACAATTTGTGTATAGTCCAGAGTGCAGAATGCCTCTGGTAATAGAGATTATGTAGTATTTATTTAATTGCATGGCCATCAAGGATTTTCTTCCAGGTCAGGAGGTGGTGCATGCCTTTAATCCTAACACATGGGAGTCAGAGACAGGCAGATCTCTGAGTTCAAGGGCAAGCTGAACTACACAGTTTCAGGATAGCCCCACTACACAGAAAATCTCTGTCTCAAAACTAAAAAACAGGAAAGTTTTCCTTTTTTAGTTCTGTCCTTTAGTTTTATTTTTGATTGACAAATAACTCTTATGTTTCCTCACTTGCATGTACATATTTACTGATTGCAATGCAATGTTTCCATAAAGGCTTTTTTGTGTGTTTTTGAGAGGGTCTTACCAAATGGTATGGGCTGGCCTGGAACTAATAACTCGCAGAGATCCAACAGCCTCTGCTTCCTGTAGTGTTTGGGATTAAAGGCATGAACCTTAAAACCTGTGGCATGTTTAAGTGAATATTTCTGTTGTTGAGTGAAACTATAAAGATTTAACTGAGAATCAATACAGTAGATCCCTAGTAGAATATTCTGCAAACTGCATATTATACTTTTGTAATTTAAAATTAATATAAAATGTGTGTATTTCTTTGAGAATTTCATGCTTGCATACACTGTACTTTAATTCTATGCAGTCCACTCTTCCCTAACTCCTCCTCCATCCACTGCTCTCCATCTCCCCAGCCACTTCCCACTTCCTAGTCTTTCTTTCACTTTTCTTTGGCTGTGGTCCACTGAGGTCAGTTTATACTATGTATGATCTCATGCATGTGTGGTCATCCATTGGAGAGTGGTCAACCTACCAGGGGCCTCAGCTTTCAAGAAAATCTATACTTCCTCTCCCAGAAGCCATCGGCTATCAATAGCTATTCATCCATTGGTGGGGGTTCATCACCCACCGAAACACACTCACCATGCACTTCATGCTGGAAGGTTGAGTGCCACAATCTTGTGTGCAATGGGCACAGCTGTGAGTTCCTGAGTGCAACAGTCCCATAATCTACAGAAGACTCTGCTTCTCCCTCACATAGTCCTGCTGACCTATGGGGTTTACTGTCTTTCTTCCCTCTCCTCGGCAATACTGCCTGTGCTTTGGGATGCTACGTATATTTGTTACTATGAGTAAAAGTTGAACCTTTGATTTTTGGGTTATAATTCCTGCATTATGTTGTGTAGTCATAGAAATACTAAAGAACTTAGGTCATTTGATGAGGGAGGAGTTGCTCCCTCATCCAAAAGCACAAAAATCATGAATGTATCGTATATATTTAGTTAGTGTATAAATACACTAACTAAAATACCAGCTCATATTACACATCAAAGGAGCATTTCTTCCAAGGAAAAGAGAAAAGATAAAAATGGTCTCAGTTTGTGTTGGGGATTTTCACTGTGTAAGAAGCTGTTTGAAGTCGGGTTGGTTTTATTTCCTATTGAATACATAAAATTGAAAACACATTAATGCAATAAATGGTGTTTTCTGGGTTGGAAGTCACAACATAGAAAAACTATCCATTATCCCTATACTGACACATGCACATAGTTTATTTCAGTGGAAACATTAGCATTGTTGGCTGTATAGATGAGCAGATTCTAAATGTTAGCTGGGAGGTCAAGAAACTAGAAAATTAAAATAGAGGAATTGCTCCATTTAATTTTAAAACTAACTATAAAACTTTATTAATGACAAGAATATGAAACTGGAAACAAGCTGGTTCTATAGGTAATGGGGAAATGAAGATGTCAAAATCTGTGATCTGTGCAAACATGACTAGTTATTTTAGCCTGGTTGCAAAAGTATTAAAAAAAATAAAACCAGTAAACATTCATGTTAGAAAGTGTTGAAAAAATCAAATATCCATACCAAAATATAAAATTGGGGACAAACCTCAGTTATTCAAAAATAGCTCCAAGTATATCTTAGGTACCAAAACTGATTTCAAGGAGCAGAAATAGAGGCAGCCAGGCAGTAGACCTTTGAAAAGCTGCTCAAAGAAGACAGGCTCCACCTCTCCCCTTTCTGTGGATCCTCCCATCCTTAAAAAGTTTTATTTTGTTTTCTTTGTATTTCAATTTGGATGTGCGCTATATATAAATATTTATTTCAGTCCACAATGGATGCAGCTGTCTGTGATAATGCTATTTATCTGTTGATCCATTTGCTTGTATGAACTCCACCTCTTTGGGGTCTCATTTGCCTAATTAATTAGCATGAAGGGACAGCTCTCCGTCTGGGTGTGATTCCTTTGCAGGGGTGCGTGCTCTTGTTCCTGCTGTTTGATGCCTCTCCCACCTGACCGCTTCTCTTTGTTCATTTGCACTAATGCTTCACAAGTTTTAGCTCCCAACTCTCCTTTGCTTTTTTCCTTTTTGAGAATACGTGTAGCAAATATTTTGTCCTACCATAGTCTTATATTTTTGTTTTTTTAATAGTCTCATGAGGTTGCTCAAACTTTGATTTAACTGAGGCATCTCCATGTTTCTATTTGCAGGGCTGTATTCTTGAAGTCACCACGAGGTGGAGCAAGGCCACCACCTCTACGTTGTGACAGCCAAACCTCCCTGCAAAATCACTCTGACTGGGAGGCACTGTTTTAAATGCTTAAAAAGGGAGAGTTTGAAAGTCAGGTTGAGCATCCTGGTATTATTTGGTCTCCTATCTTTGGTAGATTTTTTTCTTTTTCTTTTTAGAAACCTACGAATGTGTTTGTTTGTTTTTTTTTCTTCCATTTCCAGAACTTAGCGGGTGAAGCGGTGATACTCTCTGTTTCATAACCTCAGTGATTGTTTTATTTCATTTATTTGTTTTTATTCATGCTATTCTCTTGAATGGGGTCTTGTACATTTTCACTTCAGTTTTTATTCCAAATGTCTTTACAGCAACAAGGAATCTCTATCTTGCTGGATGCTTGCTCACAGTGTGCCATCTTGATTTCATGAATATATTTGATACTAAGCGCTATTGGGTTTGCATTAAATCTGCCAGCATGTCTATTGTGTTGTTTAATTCTAGTTAAACAACAAACTTTTACTTTGGCTCAATTCTACACTATCATAATCTCCTTGTATGGTTTGGACCTTGGCCCGAGGTTTGTAGTACTATTGCACTTACTCAGATAAGCCTCTGCTCTTCTTTCATGTACCATCTCTGTTATGTCCAATGTCTCACTTCTGCAAGTGTTTTCTGAGCTTTGCAGTGGTGCAGAGATTGTCCATTGCCCCGGCCCTGCCCACCTTCTTCACATGCTTTGTCTCCTGGACTGCCTCTGAGTGAGTGCTCTTCTTGTCAGCAGGGAGAGGCAGATCCACTTGCCTTCTCCTCACTTCCCTGTGTGGCAAAACAATACCATGTCTTCCTTTGGACTTCATCTTTTATTGAGCTAGTTAAGGAACTCAGCCTCTCTTTCTGACCATTTCCAGACTTACTTGACATTCTGGCCCTCTTACTTCTTTCTTCAAGTATCAACTTCTATCATTTCTAACAGCTTGGTTTTTAATTGGTGGAGACGCCGAAGAGCCAGGACCAACTCTGAGAAGCTATACAGTCGCTGGGAGCAAGATCATGACCTTCAACCTTTTGGACAACTTGGGCTGTTCTATGAGTACTTGGAAACAGGTAATTTCCAAATATGATTCTCAGGCAGCAATAACACTGATAAAATGAATAGCTTTTATCTCTTGCAATTTCCTTTTGTCTTATGTATCATAGATGTTTAAATTACTGAATAAAAAGATAGATGAATGGATGGATAGATGATGGCTATATGGATAGATGGCAGATGGATGGATGATGATAGATACATGAATAGTGGCAAATGGATTGATGGGTGGAAAGGTGAGTTGTATATATCTAGGTGAATAGTGGGTAGGTAGATGAATGGATGTGAGTATAGATTAATCGATGACAGATGTACACACACAAATATTGAGGGAGGAAAGATGGATGGATGTATTGATTGTGGAGAGATGTATAGACAGCAGGTAAATATATATATACAGATGGCAGGAATATGATATATGGATAGCAGATGGATGGGAGAAGATTCATGGCTATCTATGGAAGATCGGTGAATGGATAGATAAATGGTGATTGGATAGATGGGTAGATAGAGAAAATGATTCAGTTTTCCTTCGTCCCAGTGATTGAACAGAGATGAAACACTGAGGTGAGATCTTAGAGATCTCAGGCTGTTTGTGTGGTCTACCAAGGGCATTTCTGCTCATCAATATCCCATGATAGGCTTTGGTGGAACTATAACAGGCACTTTATGTACTTATTATTAAGACCCTGGTGCAAAGAGAGAGATTATCTGAACACCATTAAGTGATGAATATTTTAGATATGCTATATATTTTATCTTAAAATCTGTGACTGTAACAGAAAACATTTTTATGCTTCATGACAAACCAATGTTACCATAGTTTACTTTATGTTGTGTGGTATTAGTTGGGTAATACTATGCACATTGTTGGGTAAAGAGATGGGAATTCTTCTTTCATGCAGCTCACTATGCAATTAAGTAGTTCTTGCTTTATAGGATGATAAATCACTGTTTTTTCTCACTGTGGAGGATCTGAATAAATGTGTATTCACAGGCAGGGGAGCTTAGTGCTGACAGAGATGCAAAATATCATTTATAACAAAATTAGCTTCAGTATCTTGAGAGCCAACCAAGACTTGGTTTATACTGAAAACTCTCACACATTTTCTAGTCATGAAATAACTATACAGTGAAATGATTGCCTGACTTTTTTTACTCTTGGTTTTAAAGATACTGAAATCAAATACATCAGTTTTCTAGGTAAAGATCTGAGACTAACAGCTTGAAACACATGCTACCTCTTCCTCAGAATAGTTATAGTTCCTTAAGAAAAGAGAGGAATGGACTAATGTAATTGGAGACTGCTCATTTGTTTCCCAGTGGCTCAGACCCAAATAATCACACAGAAACTGTATTTATTACAATACTGTTTGGCCAATGACTCAGGAATATTTCTAGGTAGTTCTTACTTCTTAAATTAACACATTTCTATTTATCTTTGTAATACCATTAGGCTGTGTCTTACCATTAAGTTTCCAGCATCCTCCTTTGGCAGCTACATGGATTAACTCTGCCTATTCTCTCACTATATTTCTGTTCAGATTTCCCATCTGGCTATATTATTCCATGCCACAGGCAAACAAGCTTCTTTATTAACCAATGGTAATAAAACATACAGGATAAAGAGAAGAATCCCACATCATCTCCCCTTTTCTGTCTAAATACAAAGGAAGGTTTTAACTTTAACATAGTAAAATTACATAAAATAAAACAGTTACCAAGCAAGAATTATAGTCACACTATTTCTTTTTGACTCTAAAGTTTCAGTATCTAATTTATCTTTTATCATAACTAAGGAAAACTATAACTATCTAGCCTTCAACTTCATCAAAGACCCCAGAAGGATATAATATTACCTAAGTAAACAGAAGGTGCATTGGAAGCACTTTTAAAACTCTGAAATTGACAGAGATGTCTTGTTGCCTGGATAGTGTTCTGAAGTTCTTTAACATTGGGGCATCCACCTTCAGCCTACAGTCCCATACTATCCAACAGACATTTTCATGAGGCAGGAAATTTGAAATATGGTTCTGTTTATGTTGGCAGTTTGTCAGTCACTTTCTTTTGTATCCTGAAGAATCTCTAGCAGACTCTTTCATGAAGCAGAAACCCTGAAAGACTGTGTCATCTTATTTAGGCAAGTTCAGCAGTCATTTTTCCATGGGTCCTGCATGTCCAGTTCATACAGCATACCATCAGGCAGTTAAGGTAAGAGCAGTTTCTTGCCCAAATGGCTAGCCTTGTCACATTAAAGGCAAATTCCATAACAAGTTTTTTAATGCTCATGAACCTCTCTGAAGTAATTGGTGCTTCCAGAAGCAGATATGTCTCACTGTCAAAAAAGTCTAAGTTCTTACATTTTAAATGCCATATTCTGTAGGCCTTTGATAGGTTTTAAGAATACTTATCCACCTGAAGTATATTTCTGTACATCTAGATAACCTAACTAACATGACTACAGTTATAGATGACTATTTATTAATCCATAATTTTTAATTATACATTACATTTTAAATGAGCTGTATAAACATAATACTGTAAACAAGAGTAGGAATTTACATATAACAAAATTGACCTTAAACTTGTATCAATAAACCAAAGTCCATACAAATGTAAAAAATTTATTTCTATATGATATCTCCCCCCTTTTTATAGAAGGTGATTGACTGTGACTATTTAACCATTTATACCCTTCACCTTTTCAATAAAAATAAACATTTATAAATAATCATTTTTGGAATTTGGGCATAGTTTTCTCCAAACTGCTTCCTGCTGTTTGTTGGGCGAAGATTTTTAGGATTAGTGGAGACCTTCTGGGGGTCTTATTCAATCAAACCACATTAGCTTGGAAAGAATCCACTGGTTCTCATCTTCTATTAAAACAAAAGCAGAACCTCTTTTCCAAAGTAGCACACCCTTAGACTCAAATTTTGAAGTCAAGATACCTTTAAAATATATACATTGGTTTAGCATAGAAGCCTGTACAATTATATGTCTCTCTATATCTAGCTCATTCATGGTCAAAAAATTTAAAGAAAACACGATAATATATATAATTCAAACTTTGTGTATTTTCACTCTTTATGTGGCTTTTTTTACTCTACTTCTTTTAATATTTATTTTATTATCATTACTTCTTTACTTTCACTGTCTCCTTAAAGACTTTGTTTTTCTAAAACTATTACTTTTTATAACTGTCTATATACTTTTCCTCTCTCTCCTAAGCTTATGTACATTTTTTAAACACACTGTATCCTATTGAGAGATCTTTCATATCTGAATCTGTCCTATTGTATATCTATGATCATTTTCTGACCAGGAACACCTTTTTTAAAAAAATACTAAGCAGGCAAGGCCAGGACCAACTCCACCACCCTGCCTGTTTGCGCCACCCAGTTCAACATGGTGGAGGAATATTCAATGCCTCTGTGAGCCATGCTTACCAGCCAACCTTCAGGGACACAGTGGGTCTATGTTATGATTAAGCAATTTGTAACACATTATTCACAGACCCCATTTAAGTACTCCATAATAGGACCAGCACAAGCCAGGAAACCAGCTCTTAAAGGAGTTGCACAGTATTTCTGCTAATGCTGAGTCAGGAAACCTTCTCTTAAAAAAATTGCACATCTACTTGCCGCTAGCAGAACCCACCTGAGAAAATACTACTATCTAGAAACCATACTTAACTCTGTTTTTTGTGTCTAGAACTCCTTCCCAAGCTCTCTCAGGATTTATGTGGATGTAGTTGCTCCACATTGGAACCATTTGTAATTGGAGACTGCTTATTCATTTCCCAGCTTCTCAAACCCAAATAATCACACAGAAACTATATTGATTACAAAACTGCTTGGGCAATGACTCAAAGATATTTCTAGAAAATTCTTTCATATTAAATTGGCCCATTTCTATTAATCTATGTATCACCACAAGACTGTGGACTACTAGTAAGTTTCCAGCATCCTTCTCCTTCAGCTGCTACATGGCATCTCTTTAACTCTGCCTATTGTCTCTATATATCTGTCTTTGGATTTTCTACCTGGCTATATTCTGTCCTGCCATAGGCCAAAGCAGCCTCCTTATTAACCAATGGCAATAAAACACATTCACAACATATAGAGGGGAATCCTGCATCAGTCTAGTATAATTGTAAACGTCATAACAAGACAGGTGAAAAGAGAGAGAGTGAGGTTCCAAGTGGCAGGGCTAGGTTGAATGGCCCTTTATCTCTTTGGTAATGATGGGTGACCTGTGTTCTTTCAGTTATCCAGTTTGGGTTTGTCACGCTGTTCGTGGCCTCCTTTCCCCTGGCCCCCTTGTTTGCTCTCATAAACAACATTATGGAGATCCGAGTGGATGCCTGGAAGCTGACGACTCAGTACAGGAGACCTGTGGCTGCAAAAGCTCACTCCATAGGTGTCTGGCAGGACATTCTCTATGGAATGGCCATCATTTCCATTGCAACTAATGTAAGTGCCTCTTTCCAAGGGATGACTTTGCTCTTCTTTTTGCTTCTGTTGGGATGGAGGATTGTGAATGATACCGGACTCAATCCTCATGGGCACCAATTTCATCACAGAGTTGATTTCTAAGGACAAGCCACCTGAAACTTTACTTTCTGAGCAAGAACAATGAAAAGAAAATAGTATTTTCTAATTGAAATTTCATGATGTTGTTTTACAGACTTGCTGATCTAGGTAGAAAATCGGTGACAATGTAACATGTATGAACAATGGAGTGAAAAATTGATTATACACAAATATGTAAAATATAAAGAATACATATTGGGGGCTGGAGAGATTGCTCAGAGGCTAAGAGCACTGGCTATTCTTCCAAAGGTCCTGAGTTCAATTCCCAGCAACCACATGGTGGCTCACAACCATCTGTAATGGGGTCTGGTGCCCTCTTCTGGCCTGCAGGCATACACACAGACCAAATATTGTATACATAATAAATAAATAAATAGAATACATGTTTACTTACTTTTACTTACAAAATGATTTTTGAAAACTAAATCTCACAAACACTACTTTTATATCCCTTATATCCATCTAAAATTGTTTTATCAATTAAAGGTTTTTTTGAGATAATCAAAAGGAAATTTGACACCTGAATATTTGTGGTTTATTTTAGAAAACTTTATGTAAAGGAAACGTGGCTGAAACTGTGGAGCTTAAATATGGTGGGAATATAAAGAGATGTGGAACACAGTTACAGAAAAATCCATGGCTGGAAATGCTTTTTAAAAACTAAGACAGGAAAACCTAACCTAAGTATGTGACTTCAGTCACCAAAGGAAAACACATAACTAAAAGCAGTAAAAAAAAAAAATTAAAATAAAATTATTCATAAATAGTCAACTTAGAAGATAAAAGGGTAATTAACACAAATACTGAGTTAGTTTGTTATAAAGACACATAAAACAAAAAAAAAATGCCAGGTGGTGGTGGCACATGCCTTTAATCCTAGCACTCAGGAGGCAGAGGCAGGTGGACCTCTCAGTTAAAGGCCAGCCTGGTCTACAGAGTGAATTTCAGGACAGCCAGGACCACACAGAGAAACTCTGTCTTGAAAAAAAACATACAAACAAAACAAATAGACAATAAACAAGAACAAACAAAACACCGAAACCCATGAAAACAATAGACTTCTTTTTAGCAGATTGTAAAATTTTGCTTGAAATGACCAATTACTAGATATTTAAATGTTAGATTATTAAAGAATCAATGGAAATGCCAAATGTATTCATTGACATAGAAGTAACAGAAAAGTTTTTTTTAAAAAATATATATACCACAAACTACACAGCTGCCATAGTTAGACAGATGGTTTGAAATGCACTCATGTGGTCTAGAATAAACAAACTATTTCTGTGATCATTGGGCTTAAAAAGAACCGTAACACCCCCATATAATGAAGTTGTGAAATTAATTGTTCTAAGCTACAAGAAAAATGTCAAGGACACGCTTCCGAGTTCCGACTACGCACGTGCAGCTACTGCTCAGTGCAGCCTGCTAGCGCGGCCCGGCAAACATGTCGCACTTACAGATGAAACTCCTGCGCAAGAAGATCGAGAAGCGGAACATCAAGCTGCGGCAGCGAAACCTGAAGCTGCAAGAAGCATCAAACACGAGCCTATCCCAACCTTCCAATGAAGATGTGCCCAAAGAAGAGGTAAAGGTCAGAAAAGTTAAGAAAGCAATAAAGCATGCTGCAAGGGTGGGCTCAGCAGAAGCACAAAGTGGAGGCATGCCTGAAGAGACAGTGGAAAACTCGAAAGTTGAAAAGTTACCCCAGAAACCTACTGCTTTAACCAATGGAGAAACAGCAGCAGCGCCATCTCCTGATTCAGAATCAAAAAAGAAAAAGAAGAAAAAGAGGAAAATGGCAAATGACGCAGAGCCTGACACCAAAAAAGCAAAAACTGAAGAAAGCACTGTGGCTCTTGAAACAGAAGATGCTGTGGAGAAGCCAGATGACAAGGAAGTGCCCAGCCTGCCCCTGGGGCTGATAGGGGCTTTTGAGGACACTTCGTTTGCTTCCTTGTCTAACCTCGTCAATGAAAACACTCTGAAGGCTATAGAGGAAATGGGCTTCAAGCGCATGACTGAGATCCAACATAAAAGTATCAGGCCACTTCTGGAAGGCAGGGATCTTCTAGCAGCTGCTAAAACCGGCAGTGGCAAAACTCTGGCTTTCCTCATCCCTGTGATCGAGCTCATTGTGAAGTTAAAGTTTATGCCCAGGAATGGAACAGGAGTCCTGATTCTCTCTCCTACCAGAGAACTGGCCATGCAGACCTTTGGTGTTCTTAAGGAACTGATGACGCACCATGTTCACACGTACGGGCTGATCATGGGTGGCAGCAACAGGTCTGCTGAAGCACAGAAGCTCACCAATGGCATCAACATTGTCGTGGCCACCCCCGGCCGGCTTCTAGACCACATGCAGAATACTCCAGGGTTCATGTACAAGAACCTTCAGTGTCTTGTTATTGATGAGGCTGATCGTATCTTGGATGTTGGATTTGAAGAGGAATTAAAGCAAATTATTAAACTTTTGCCAGTACGCAGGCAAACCATGCTCTTTTCTGCCACACAAACTTGAAAAGTTGAAGACTTGGCAAGAATTTCTCTGAAAAAAGAGCCATTGTATGTGGGTGTTGATGATGATAAAGAAGTTGCCACAGTGGATGGACTTGAGCAGGGATATGTTGTGTGTCCCTCTGAGAAGAGGTTCCTTCTGCTCTTCACATTCCTTAAGAAGAACCGGAAGAAGAAAGTGATGGTCTTCTTTTCGTCGTGTATGTCTGTGAAGTACCACTACGAGCTACTGAACTACATCGACCTGCCTGTCTTGGCCATCCATGGAAGGCAAAAGCAAAATAAGCGAACAACCACGTTCTTCCAATTCTGCAATGCAGATTCAGGGATACTGCTGTGCACAGATGTGGCAGCCAGAGGGCTGGACATCCCTGAAGTCGACTGGATTGTTCAGTATGACCCTCCCGATGACCCCAAGGAATACATTCATCGTGTGGGTAGAACGGCTCGGGGCCTGAACGGAAGAGGGCATGCCCTGCTCATCCTGCGCCCTGAAGAGTTGGGTTTCCTTCGTTACTTGAAGCAATCCAAGGTTCCACTGAATCAGTTCGACTTTTCCTGGTCTAAAGTTTCTGATATTCAGTCTCAGCTGGAAAAGCTGATCGAAAAGAACTATTTTCTCCATAAGTCCGCGCAGGAAGCATACAAGTCCTACATACGAGCCTACGACTCCCACTCTCTCAAGCAGATCTTCGATGTGAACAACTTAAATTTGCCTCAGGTGGCTCTGTCCTTTGGCTTTAAGGTTCCTCCCTTCGTTGATCTGAACGTGAGCAGCCATGATGGCAAGCTTAAAAAGAGAGGAGGTGGCGGTGGATTTGGCTACCAGAAAACAAAGAAAGTGGAGAAGTCCAAGATCTTTAAACACATCAGCAAGAAGACAGCGGACCGCAGGCAGTTTTCTCACTGACAGGAATGGCTTTCTACCTGGACTTTGCCCTAATTTCCCCCTTTCTCTTTAAGAAGGAACTTTTTAAAATCACCTTTAGGATTTTTTTGTCTTTACTATGAATGATAATTTTTATTTTTAAATACTCCCATAAAAAAAAAAGAAAAATGTCAAACCACACTCTTTCCTTTTATTCATCAGCCTATTACTGACACAGTGCACATACACAAGACACAGACTCACACAGGTGCACAGAAAGACACAGTCATAAATACACACTGGTACATTCATACATCATTATACATCATTCATACATACATATACATATGGTCACACATAAGCATGTACACACAGATCTTACAGATGTATACAGATGCTCACAAATACAAACAGAAACACTCATATAGATGTGAAAATACACAGAGATACAGACATATGAATTCCCCTATTTCCCCACCTGTCTCTCTCCCAGCCCACACAAGGGAATTTAAGAACAATGAACGTGTCAATCAAAAACATGAGTCATAGCAAGGCCAAGGAGAGAAAGCATGTTTTGGGGCAGCAAATAAACATAGGTTCAATTCTTAAGTTAGCCATTCTGTAGCTATGAAATTTTGAAATTCAGTTCCAGACTACCCATGTGCCTTCAAAAGTTTTAGAGTGGTGTTTGAGTTACCTCATGGAAGTGGGCTTGCATACAAGTCAGACTTTGTGCACTGGACTGGGCTCATTGTTGTTCTTTCCCTTTGTCCATCAGGCCTTCATTGTTGCCTTCACATCTGACATCATCCCACGGTTAGTTTACTTCTATGGCTACTCAAGCAATTCCACAGAGCCCTTGAGTGGATATGTCAATAACAGCCTGTCAGTGTTCCTGATAGCTGACTTCCCCAACGACACAGCGCCCATGGAGAAAAAAGACTTCACCACTTGCAGGTCTCCTTCTGTCTAGGCTTTAGTTCTGTACTTTTAATGTTTCTCTTAAATTATCTTTTTCCTGATGTTTGTCTTGTGGTGTAAAAGGTTTAGTTGATACAAGGCATTTCCTGGGTTAATATCATATATCATTTCTGGAATTCATACATTGTATGACCTGACAGACTATACAAAAGGAAGTAATATTATGGGCCGAAGTCATGTTGTTCTTAAATAGTTTCTTAGTTTTGAATTATTTTTGAAAATGATGCTCACTAACTAGGATAGGCTCCCTGGACATGAGCTATAACATCTATCACTCAGTATGGTTAATTAAGTGAATTTTACCATTTATCCTCAGAGAAAGAAATAGAGAAATAACAATGTAATAATGGGACCAGTACACCAGCCATCATTCCACTTAAAGATTTTCTAGTGTAGAATGTGTGAGTGGTATTTGTGAATTGTCACCACACCCAGTTTATCATGTTCTGTGGGGATCTTTATACAATAGACTATAAAAACAATAGTCAGTAAGTAGGTGGTTAGATAATAGAGATATTATAGATTATAGATCACTGATGGAGATATGCAGGTAGTTGGGTAGATAGATAGATAGATAGATAGATAGATGAAAGAGGTAGATGATGAAGATAGATTGATAGATATACATGTAGAGAGAGAGTTGATCGATTGTAGACATACATGATAAAGGTAAATGATGCATATATATAAGATAAAGGTTGATGGGTAGAAGATAGTGATAAATAGGTAGATTGTATTGATATATGCATGGATAGATTGATAGGTACAAATAATTTATGACAGATTGATGATACAGGTAGATAGTAGATCATAAATAAATAGTAGATAGATAACAGACAGACCGATAGACATGTGCACACATAAGTACACAAAAAATCTTGAAAATTGACTTCATCCTCATATTAACTTCTCACTTTGGGATTCCAACAACGAGAAAGGAAGCCATTTCAGAACAATAGGACAAAAACACTGATCTGTGGCACATTTGGATAGGAAGGAATCATGGCACAGTGTTCAAGACTGGAATCTCTGTTGTCTGATCTCTGGGTTTCAACCACTTTCTAAAAACTAGAGTGAGTGATTGAAGAACATCAAGTCTAGTGAAGGGAATCATCGGAAAGTCTGAGCATGAGAAGAACACAGAAAGAGAACACTGCCTTGTCAATACATCTGAAAGGAAAAGGCGTGTCCAGGAAACAGAAGTGGTCCACATAGCATAGCGAGTTGGTTGGGTGAGATAGGAGGAGGATTTCTACAAAATGCCGTCATAGCTTGGTCTCTTATGGAAGAAACTGAACTAGACCAAGGAAGTTTTCCTGGTTTATGTCCCCTTAGGTAGGTAATATGGGTAAGTAGCACAAGCCTGGAGCTGGAGAACAGAAAAAAGGTTTAACACTGTTGCTTTGCTGTGACCTGAGTTTGTACTCAACTTCAATCTAACAGAAATGGTAAAAGTTTTTTCCATGTCTGTTCATGAAACTTGCCACAAATGTCATCTGTCATTCTGTCTACCTGTCATATATATTATCTATCTAAATATCACAGATTATCGATCTCTCCATCTATCTCCATGTCTATCTGCATATCTACCTATCATCTATAAACTATTTATCATATGTATCTATCACAGACCATCTCTCTGTCCATCTATCTACCTACTATCTATCACATCTATGTGGCATAAATCATCTCTCTCTATATGTTTCCCTATCCATGTTCATTTTTGGTCTTATTCTCTGTTTTGTAGGTACAGAGATTACAGGAACCCTCCTGATCATGAGAACAAGTATGTCCATAACATGCAGTTCTGGCATGTCCTTGCCGCCAAGATGGCCTTCATCATAGTGATGGAAGTAAGCTGACCTGACTCTCCCACGTCTCTTTCGTCTCACCCAGCTCTTTTGCCACTCCCCGAAGCAACTGTTTCTAAACACACCTGTTACCAGGAAAATAGCGCCCTCTTCTTTCATTTGAAGGAATCATTTGTCATAAGTTGCAACTCCACTATGGGAGCTTGATATTCACTTACAATTGGTAAAGGTCCCTTGGCAAGAGAAAAAGAAAGGAAATGCCTGACAAGGTCAGGAAAGGGGTGATTTGTAGAGCACCTGTTCCAAAGGCTCTGTTTCAGCCATTCTCATCATCTAGCCTTCCTTTGTTTTTACCTTTGACAGATGAACCTGATATTCATCAAAATATGTCATTGGCTTAAGGTTAATTAGCTACTATCAGAGCTGGGATTTGGTGCCAGGCAGATTTCTATTAGTTCATCAAGACCAATCTTGTCTACAAGAGCTAGTTCCAGGACAGGCTTCAAAGCTACAGAGAAACCCTGTCTCAAAAAAAAAAAAAAAAAAAAAAAAAAAAAACAGACAAGCAATTTTCTTTCCTTTTGATACATGAGATTAGAGGGTGCTCTGAAGGAGGTACTTTATATGGGATCATAATAGTTATAATATGATGAGGGGAAAACAGAAATCACTAGCATTGTCAAGAGTTTGCTGGTGAGACTCCTAAGTGGAAGTTCATGCCTGAGAAGGAAGAGAAGGCTTTAGTGTTGATAATTGTGCTGGGACTCTGTTCTCAGCTGGCCTGGGGGTTCAGCCAGCTTCCTGGGTAAGAATTTCTTCCCCTCCCTGTGTCCCCAGGTTTTCCTCTATCTTTCCTGCCCATGCTCAGTATTCTGAATTTCACTGTTTAGAAAGTGTGCTTTTAATATGTGTCCCACCTCCACTCTACACCACAGCCTCTGCCCTTTCTGTTATAAAGATAAAAACCGTTCACTGTTGAAATGACCTGGCGCAAGTGAGAAGGAAACATGGAACATGCAACAAACCAACTTAGGAGTTTATTAGAGGGGCCATGTACAGGCCTGGGGAAGTCAGTGTGCAGAGAGAGAGAGAGGAAGAGGGCACGTCCAGCTTTAAAAGCTGCCCAGCACATTCGCACAGGGGGTTGATGTGACTACATCATACACAGGTGACGGGGGCTCATGCAGGCACGCAAGGGCTTAGCTGAGTCAAATGTGGATGATGCAACCATGCTTGTGTGGGTCACATGGGGCCCCAGAGCCATTAGGCACTTCTTCCTGAGGGTTTGTCTGCACATGCATGGCCCTAAATCCCAGAAGTGTCAGCCTCATTATGGCTGAAATCGTAACATTCCACCCTTTTATTATAAAAATTTGGGGAGTTTGGGGTCTTTAATGTGTGGGAATGGGGTGTTGTAAGGTCTCTCGTGACTGCTTCCTGCTGATTTTGTGGGCCTCGGAGAGTTGAAATGCTTGACCACATTCTAGGGTGGCTGATTACTGTTGTGTTTGGTTTTTTTTTTTGTTTGTTTGTTTGTTTTTTTGAGCTCTGTAAAACTGGCTGGATGGCAGCTTGGACCTTGCAAAAATGCTGGAAAAGCAGAAAATTATATCTGGAAAAAATTTTAGATCCCAGTGATTAGGGAGAAAAGTCCCAAGATGGAAGATAGAGGGTTTGAGGGGGGGTGGCGTGGAGGAGGAATTTCCCAGTGGTTCCCGAGACCAGGAATGATAAGGGAAGAATTAAATGATATTTATTCTGGGTGGGTCTTGTCTGCTTATGTCCAATTGGCTCCCTGGAGCTCATGAAAAGAATGTTTGAAAAGAAATAAATTTTAGACATATTAAAAGCTTATAATTACTATTGAATAGTGTTGGAATAGAAGATGGTGGGGAGGAGTGAGGAAAAGAAGGGGGAATTATTAGAAAGAGAAATTATTAGACCCCTCAATGTTTTATCTGGAGCAAATCTTAAGGCACTTGCTCTCCTTTAGCATAACGGTATTACCTTAACATCCAGGAGACACTACTGCAGTCAGTGATAAACCTGCTATGTTAAAGTAATCGTTTGTGAGTTTTTAGAGTCTGGGGCTATGAATGTCCCAAATTTGTTTTTGTTTCTTACTACCTGGGCTTTTGGCAATCCTTGTCCCTCTGGTTCTATGTTTAATGATGGTCCCTGTAATAACAACTAAGTGGTTAACTGAAAATTTAAGCATGACATGGGAGATATAGAGATGTTAGTAGAGCAGACAGAAGAAAGAGGAAGAAGAAGAGTATATGGTTTTGGCACAGGAGAGTTGAGAATGGTGATGAGACTTATTTTTCTGGAACTAGAGAAAGAGTGGCTGATCTTGGTGTCTCTGGAATTTAAGGGAACACGGCTCTGTTCCCCTATCTTGAGCTCGAAGAGTAAAAGTTTTAAGGTGAGATAGTGAGAGTAGATCAGAAGCTAATGCCTGAACATATAGGTGTGGGCTGTCCTGGAGTCCCTGGGAAAGGACAGTCCAGGTGAGCTGTGTGGAGAGGTGAGTTTCAGGGTCAGTCCAGGTGAAGGCAAAGATTTGAGATTGAGAGCTGAGAGGAATAGAGAAAAAAGCATCCTTAAGGTCTAGAACTGAGAAATGGGAGGTTCCTGGGGAGATAGTGGAAAGAAGTGTGTAAGGATTAGGTACTACAGGATGAAAAGGAACCACTGCAGAGTTAATGAGTCAGAGGTCTTGAATCAGGTAACAGGTTTCATTAGGTTTTTTAACAGCAAGTATAGAGGTGTTAAAGGGAGAAGAGGTGGGGCGAAGTAGCTTTTTTCTTAAAAGGTCCGAGATATAGGCTTAAGTCCCCTGAGGCTCTGAAGGGGGGGGGGTACTGAACTTGGGTAATGTACTTAGTAGGGTCTTGGAATTGGATAAGGATGGGGGAATGGTGTTTAGCAACACAGGGGTTTTGGGTGTCCCAGACTTGGAGGTTTACCTGAGAGGCTGGTAGAGGAAAAGACACATTGGGGCTGGGAGGTTGTGAGGATAGGAGGAGGAGGAGGAGGGGAGCTGTTGGTGAGTCCAAGGTAAGGTAAATGGAAGGAACAAATGAAATGGAAGCTTCTACTTTTGCTAAAAAAAATCTCTTCCCATAAGAGGTACTGAGCAAGTAGGCATGACTAAAAATAAATGAATGGATAAATATCCCTAAAAAAACAGAGTTAAGTGGTGGGGACAGGTGAGGTAGATAAGGCTGTCCCTCTAGCCTGACAATAAGGAAACTAGAAGGAGAGGTGGGTCCCCAGAATTCTGTCAGTACCAAGTGTGTGGCTCCAGTGTCCAAGAGAAAGGAGATGGGCCATCCTGTTACTGTGATGTTTACCCATGGCTCCCTGTTACAGATAACGGTTGTGGTCAGGTCAAAGGGCAGCCTCACGCATTCATGACCGGATCTAGAAGGTCAACTTGGGAATTTTCTGGGTTTTATGTCTCCATGCCACAATGTACATGAGGACAATCGACTGTCTAATGTTCTTCCCTATGGCATCTTGGACAAGGTCTTATGGGACCAAGATGAGAGGATTAGGGCATGCTTGGGCCCAGTTACCAGCTCTACCACATTTGAAACACAGGCCTGGTGGGAAGGCAAGGGAGCAACACAGATAACATGGATCAGGTGGTCTGTCATCTCGGCCAGTAGGAGGGCTGTGGCTAGCATGTGACAGTGATGATTGCAGGTTTTGTCATTCCTCTCATGGTACACCTTAAAAGCCAACTCTAAGACTTCTGCTTGTGGGGTCAAGGGGCCTTTCTCCAAACATCTAAGTTTAGCCCTAATGCCAGGGTAGCACTGGAAAAGAATGAGTCATGAGTAACTGTCTGCCTTCCATGGTTTCTGGATCTAAGTTAGTATATTGTAACACGGCTTTAGTGAGGCAATTCCAAAAATGCAAAAGGAATTTTCTTCGTATCTTGAATGACCTCTGAGAGCTTATTATAGTTTACTGGCTTGAGGGCAGCCTTACATGACCTGCCAGGACGCGAGTCGAAAACTGGTCCCTAGCTAAAATTTCACCTGGGGTGTTATAGTCCCAGTGTGGTTCCTGCTTGGGGACGGCCTCTGCTCCCAGAGGATGTGTTGCTTGTGCTTGGTGAACCTCCTCTGAATGTAGTCTGGCCTGCTCCCAAACTTGCTTGTGCTCTTTAGAAAGTAGGTTGTTAGATAGGATCATATTGATATCATGAAAGATTATGAGACTGGGACTTAGAGCTTAGATAGTAAATGAGTTGTATATAAGAAAACTCCTTCCATCTGCCTGTGCACTGACTGGTTAGAAAGCTCCACAGAATATGAGGATCAAAGATGCTGTTAGCCAGCCACTTTAAATTGTTATCTAAATTATAAGGAGATCATTTTTTGAACAAAGATGGACAAGTGTGAGAATATGTAGGTAGGGCATTAACAGGGCCTCTAAAAGGCATCCCAAGGGGGAGGCTGGATTGATTGTCTTGGATGGCCTGCTACCCAAAGCTGTAACTGTAAAAACCCACAAAAAAAAAAAAAAAAAAAACAGTGATACCACAAGGCTTATAGGGAGACATCTCCCCTTTATAGGTGGGATGTAAAATGACGGGAAAACCACAGGGCTTGTAGGAGAGCATCCTCTACCTGCAGGCAGGGTGTTAAAGCCTGACTGACTCTAGCCGGGGTGACTTGGAAGCCAGGGCCCCGACAGGGACCTCTGACAAGTGGTCCAGAAAAAAAAAAGAAAAAAAAGGAGAAAGAAAAATTTGAGGGACCCTGAGCCCCCAGTCATGGGAATATTGACCCCAGGTTATCCAAATATGATTTTAGCTAAGGGAAGCAATCCAGAGATAAATGTCAGTGAAGGACTCAACCATAGCCTTAAAGACCATGGTTGGGGGCTGTACCCCCATTTCTAGGAACACCAGAAGATTGCCTGGAGCTCAACGGTCAATTCCTCAGGTTCAGAGAAACTGTTACGCTGACCAGAATAGGGGAAACTCACCAATTGAAGCCACTGGTGGTGTGCCTAGAAAGAAAGGTGGGAGAGCCTATCGAGTCCGATGGCACCAATGAAATTACATGACGTGAGTGAGAAGGAAACATGGAACATGCAAAAAAAAAACCTGCTTAGTAGTTTATTAGAGGGAACGTGTACAGGCCTGGGGATGTCAGTGTGTAGAGAGAAAGAGGAAGATGGTGTGTCCAGCTTTTAAAAGCTACCTAGTGCATGCGCACAGGGGGTTGATGTGACTAAGTCATACACAGGTGACAGGGCTCACGCATGCACACAAGGGCTTAGCTGAGTCATATGTGGATGATGCAACCACGCATGCACATGTGTCACGCAGGGCCCCAGGGCCATTAGGCATTTCTGCCTGAGAGCTTGTCCACACATGCATGGCCCTAGAACCCAGAAGTGTCAGCCTTATTGTGGCTGAAATCCTAACAACTGTTATGCCCAGATCCATGAAGTTGCCAAAACAAGGGGAATGAGTCCCATATGCAAGCAAAGAGCCTTTATTTAAGTTTGCAAACTCAGTCTCTCTGTGTGTCCAGTATAGTAGAATAATCTGATAGCCCCAAGCTCAGTTAGGGTTGGGTTTTTATAGTAGTAAAGCTGAGGGTGAGGGATTTCTAAGGTTCAGGACCTCTGATTGACTGACATTTGTTTAGGGTTGTCCTCGTGAATGTGTGCTGGAAAGTGGTCCTATCTACAATGGTTGGAACATTAGGAATTTCTGTTCCTGGGTAGTGCCTGGATAATCTCAGTTTGTGGTCCTTCCTGTAACCAGGTATTGCCTCAGGGTAAACTACTGAGTTCCAGGCCTCCAATTAAGCTAATCATGGCAAGATCCTACACTGGCAGGTGATAATGGTTGGAAGTTAAGAACTTCCTTTGTGTTGGCCTATTCCAATTAAGCTTATCATGGTTGGCTGAGTTCTACATTCACATAATTCCTAGACATTCTACTGCTTCTCATAGAAACCCAAACTAATGCACTTGTTTTCAGTTCTACCCTGCACTCACTGTCCACAGAAGGCCTGACTGCCTTCATTCCTGAAAACTCTCTAAGAATCTAAAACAGAGTGACCACTATTCTTTAAGTTTCATCTTCACACTAAATCATAAAGTACATGGTTGAGTGTGAGCTGTGCTATCTAAAGGAAACTAGGACTGTTTTAGAGATGTTTCCTTAGGTTCTTAGGACGGGGCACAGATAAAGGGCAGGCATTTTAATAGCCATATTCTGTTCCTCTAGTTGCATAGATAGATAGATAGATAGATAGATAGATAGATAGATAGATAGATAGATTTATTTATTATGTATACAACATTCTGCCTCCATGAATGCTGTCACACCAGAAGAGGGCACCAGATCTCATTACAGATGGTTGTGACCCACCATGTGGTTGCTGGGAATTGAACTCACGACCTGTGGAGGAACAGCCAGTCCTCTTAACCACTGAGCCATCTCTCCAGCCCCCTAAATATATATTATTTAATTCAATTGTATGTATGAAAATTATAGGGTACACACACGCACACACTCACACATGCACAGGCATGTGCATAAGTATGTGTCTGTATGATTCAACTTTGTGCTTCTTGTGTCCAACACAGTTTATCAAAGTTCAGGGGGACCTTTGAGGACTCCTTGATGACTTCTTGATGATCCTAACAGTATCTCTGTTCTTCCTTTATCACCCCTTTAGCACATTGTGCTTCTGTTCAAATTTTTATTAGCATGGATGATACCAGATGTTCCAAAGGATGTCACAGAGAAAATCAAACGAGAAAAGTTAATGACTGTAAAAATTATCCATGACTTCGAGCTCAACAAGTTGAAAGAAAATTTGAATTTTGAGTACAGTAACATCATTAGGGATGACACAGAGGAAGACAACAGATCCCTGGGGAGCAAATCCTCTGTCTAATCCACATGCAAGGAGAGAAGCTCTGCACCCTTCTCTGTTCACTGTTGCCTCTGGGTTTCTGGCTGGATGTTGGAATCCATATATCCATTTGTTTTACTTTCTTCCTTTTATTTTTAACTCAGAGACTTCCTGCCCTTTGCTAGAGGCTGACATCAGAAGAGAACACAGGCAGGCACTATCCACTGGGCTCTCCCAGGGGGTAACTCGTGGAGTCCTGAAGACAGTTGCAGGTGGTGCCACTGGACGCAGAGTCTGGGAAATCATGAAGTATTGCTACTTAGAGTGAAATGCTGGCCTTGGGGATGCTTGGTCACTTCCCAGAGCAACTGCGCATCTCTGCTCTCTCCTGTTGAGTGTTTTGTCTCCCTCCCAACAAGAAAAGGGTCACATTGAAGAGTGAGCTAGCAACGAGATCTGCCATCTCATAGAACAGTTGCCTTTGTAAAATGCATGCATTAAAAACTCAAATCAGATGTCTTGAGAAATCTCACTTATTGACAAATGTTGGGTAAAAATTATAGCAGGACTGTGCTCTTGACCATGTCAGGTGCAAGTTAGCTTCTGTCAGAATCCCAGATAGCCTTTCCTGGTAAAGGTAGAATCAATTTTTCTATGAGACTAAAAGAATTTTCACAAAAGACTCTCAGAGGGCTTTTAAAGGTAATGTCTCCATTTTGTTGACTAACTTCCACACCATGGAGTCAGGTGACTACAGGCTTCCAAGTGAAGTAACTACGCAAAGCCCAAGTGTCTTCTTAGGAGATAAAGAATGCAAGACAGTGTGCTCTCTTCAGCAGCACATATGCTAACATTGGAACAATACAGAGAAGAATAGCATGGCCCCTAATAAAGAAAAAAAAGAATGCAAGACAGTACATGGACATTAACTTATTCAATGATAAAGTGAAACTCTTCCATTTTTCCGAGATGCTGATTTTTGCATCATGAAGACTTTTTTGAGATCTAACCATTTGTATAAGTTGGGCCCAAACTATTTACAAATTGTGGTCTCTTCACTCTGAAGAAATCCCATACCTTATAATAAGTTTACAGTCTTTTCATGGGCGACCTTGCCCCCACAATGTTCAGTGCCTTCTTTCTCTGCCTTTGACACATAAGACATGATCTAGGTGACTGTTAATTTGACTTGATAGACTATTTTAGATGTCAACCTGTCTTAGAGAAACTGTCAGTGTTGTGAGCCCAGAGTTTATCACCAAACAATAACCAACCACATGAGAAGATGATAATCAGGTGGACAAAAGTATATTTGAGAAGTACCCCTTCCATATTTATCCTATGTGGATAACACAATCTTTGCCATTGCTTCAGTTAATGCAATATCACATTCTTGTCTGCCTGTACCTTACTGCTAGAGTGAGAGATAGGGTTCAGCCCTAGAGTACTCAGATCTTTAGGTTTAAATTAGAATTCAGCTACAAAGGAGTATTTTTTTAAACCAACTACGTATAAAAAAAAAAAACCTGATCACACAATTTCTAAAAGCAGTGTTCCCTTAACAATAATGTAGTCTTACAGCATAGCTAATGTTACCATATTAACTAACTGCTGATAGATATTAAGTATCTAAAACCAGGGATTATGGGTTTTATAAAAATGACAGAAGAGCTAGTACATCACATTACTGATTAGTTATATAGTAGATAGACTACATGTTTGGGTTCCTTGAAATGATTCCATAATTAAAAAATAATTTCGTATATGGAGATGGTTAACTTAAGAAAGCCAGCCCTTTTGAGCATGACCAAGCCACAGCTGAGGTTGGCTGTCATATTACAGTGTCACTGCAATGCTCTTCATACACTGTTCACATTGCCTTCTTCATGGTGTTATTGTTAGAAAAAAGGGTGGATTATAGGTCTTTGGAAATGCACTTTAATTTTGTGACTTCAAAGTATCATGGAGACAGACTCCAAGCTAAGGACAAATCTGACTTGTAAAGCTGCCATTGCAGGTTCAAAACCAACTCAAGCACTGAGTGTCTAAAGTCATGGTAGACATTAACAAAACTGGAATTTATTCTATTACAAATGCTTCTTAGGACTTATCTGTGTTTTCACTTCACATTTGCCTTGGAATTTTCCACTGAGCACTTTCTTCCTGCCTTGTATTTTACCCTGAGATACTAGAATAACTTTCTAGAAAGTCTTCCAGCTAAAATCAGACGGAGTTCGCCCAGGTGGATTTGCCCCATTTCACCAAAACACTGGATGGTGTGAGAATGCTGAGTTAGATGCACCTGAGCACCGGATGTATGTTCATGTTTAGGAGTATGGCTGTGATTTTTTTCTTTCAGTAAAACAGGCAGTTTACTCTTTTCCACTGATATTCCAGGGAACAATTGAGATCTCATGTGAAAATAGAATCTTCAAGTGCCAAAGGCCCAAACCACACAACTCTTTTCAATGGTCCTTTTGCAATCATCATCTTCATTGTTTCTTTTCACACAGAAAACAAAATCTTTCAAGTCACACTGACTTTAGACATCAAGAAGGGCCTTAATTAGATAAAAGATGTGTTAATTTTGCAGTGTTTCTGGACTCTTTTTTATTTTGGTGAAGAGGAGAGTGAGAGAGAGAACTGTTTCTTCTGGATCTCAGGTAAGATTCATTGGGGTGCAGCTGTGGGTAGAAAGATACAGATCTCAGCTGAGCACCAATTACTAATGGTGAGAGAATGTATCTTGAGAAATTTCAGGCTGGCAATATTTATATGTCCAAGGAAAGCCTTTGAAGTATGATTGTAGGGTCAGGCACTGTGAACAATCATTGGCAATACTGGTCATTCAAAAATATAACCTATTGTTTTGGACAAACCTCTCATAGTTATTATGTAATAGAATGGTGTCATAAAGGAAAATGTTGTATTGCTAGACTTTGGACTCTGCCACAAGAAATCAATGGAACTATCATGTTACTGTTCTTCCTGCAATTTTAATCTACTTTTCTGTGTAGTAATTCAAATATGTCAATTATTTCAGAATTATGTAAAAATTAATGACAATTAATTTTATGGTGTAATCTGTGTAAGATACAACTGTCCATCCCTCTAAATATGTCATTGGATACAAGATGTAGCTCTTCTGCTATCAGGTGCTGTATCCTGAGGTCAGCTCAGAGTATACAAACTTGCTTTTCTCTCCATTTCTCCCTCCTTCTGTCCCTCCCTTCCATTTTCCCTTCCCTCCTTCTTTCCCCCCTTACCTTTCTCCCTCATTCCTTCCTTTGATCTTTGCTCCCATATTTCCTTCTCTTCTTTCTTAAAGGGAGTAGCCAGGTATTTAGCAGAAATTGTCTTTATTTATGCATCCAAACCTGAAAAACCAAATCGTAACTACAAGCAGGTGTACAGTCATTTGGGTATATTATTTTCAACTCTTTGTATTTGAAGACTGTCAAATAAAAGTTGGTTAGAAAAGTTTTTAAGTATCCCACCTACTCAACATGTTTATTTATACATAGAACAAAAAGGAACACTTGAAGAGCTAGGTGATGGTGGCATACGCCATTTTAATCAGCACTTGGGAGGCAGAGGAAGGGGTCTGTCAGTGAGTTCAAGGCCAACGTCCTCTAGAGATTGAATTCCAATACAGTGGGACTACACAGATAAACTCCATTGGAAAACAAAATGAAAAGCAAAAAGAAAAACAAACAAGAACAACAAAACAGAGGGAACTCAGAAGTTCCTCAACCCCTATCCTTCTTGGGCTCTCTGCAGGGCCTCTACTCCCTGCATACTGCCTCGTTCTTCCTATCCCACCCAGCTTGCATCCAGAACCCTCCCCCCTCTGCCCCCCTGCCCTCTTTGGGCACATAACATCACCCAGCTCAGCCTGTCTGGGCACTGGGTCCGAATCCTCAGGGCAACCAGGTGGGCGGAAGTTCCTTTGTTTCAAAAGCCTGCCTGTACCAAGCAAGGTAGGTGCTTTGTTTACGAGCTACCCAACCAGCACGGAGACATGAACTCGGCGCCAGGAGAGCCAGCATTGGGGAGAGCCATCACTGGAAAGGTACATCAGTAGGCAAGGAGACCTGATCCTGTAAAAGAAGATCCATAGGGGAGCATTCGGAGGAAGAGATGGGCAGGCACCAATGCAAGAATTCACCAAACAATCTGAAAGGCAACATGAAACCACCAGAAACCAGCGACCTCACAACAGGCGGACATGAACACCTGAATCAAGAAGAAGTAGAAAAAATTGACTTTATGAAAGTGATTTCTTAAACACTTAAACAGCATGTAAAGAATGCCTTTATAGAAATGGATGAGAAATATAACAGAAAGTTTGAAGAATTGAATAAATCAGTGAATGATACCCTAGAAAACCAAGGAAAAACAATCAAACAGATAATGGAAAAAGTTCAAGACTTGAAAACTGAAATGGAGGCAAAGAAGAAAACACAAACAGAGGGCCGGCTGGACATGGAAAATTTAAGTAAACAAACAGAGACTACAGAAACAAGCATAACCAACAGAATACAAGAGACAGAAGAAAGAATCTCAGATTCTGAAGATAACATAGAGAAAATAAACACACTGATCAAAGAAAACAGCAAGTCCAACAAACTCTCATCACAAAACATTCAGGCAATCTGGGACACAATAAAAAGACCAAACCTAAGAATAATAGGAGTAGAAGAAGGAGAAGAAGTGCAGCTCAACGGTCCAGAAAATATATTTAATAAAATTATAGAAGAAAACTTTCCCAACCTAAAGAAAGATATACCTATGAAGGTTCAAGAAGCATACAGAACACCGAATAGGCTGGATCAAAAAAAAAAAAAAAAAAAAAACACCCCCTCACCATATAATAATCTAAACACAAAGCATACAGAAAAAAGAAAGAATATTAAGAGCCGCAAAGGAAAAAGGCCAAGTTACTTATAAAGGTAAACCTATCAGACTTACACCTGACTTCTCCACGGAAACCATGAAAGCCAGAAGGTCCTGGATAGATGTACTCCAAAAACTAAGAGACCACGGATGCAAGCCCAGACTACTATACCCAGCCAAGCTTTTGTTCACTATAAATGGAGAAAATAAAATTTTCCAGGATAAAAACAAATTTAAACAATACGTAGCCACAAATCCAGCCTTACAGAAAGTAATAGAAGGAAAATCACTAACCAAGGAGTCCAACAATGACCACAATAACTCAGACATCTAGAGACCCTTCACCAACACAACTCAAAGAAGGGAAACACACAAACTCTACGACTAAAAAAGTGACCGGAGTTAACAACCACTGGTCATTAATATCACTTAATGTCAATGGACTCAACTCACCTATAAAAAGGCACAGGCTGAGAGATTGGATAAGAAAACAGGATCCAACATTCTGCTGTCTACAAGAAACACACCTCAACCACAAAGACAGGCACTTACTCAGAGTAAAGGGCTGGGAAAAGGCC